TGAAATTTTAACTATACTTTATGTGCGTTTTTAATAGTTTGGTTATTCTAGCAGATTCTTAGAATCACATCAGCAGTTAGTTTCGTTTAGTTTTGATAGATGGCGCTGCACCAGTGAATCTATTTAAGTTTTGCCAGCGCCACTAGGAGGAGTGAAGTGGCCTAGTGTGTTAGTTGCATGACGCATGATCGAGAAATTGTGGTTCAAATCCCGATCGGTGCAACTGATGTTAACTTTTTTAATTGTTTCAAAATATTTTTATATTTTATTAAATGAGTTTGGTATTTTATTTATATTTTTAAATACATCGAAATTTAAATTTCAGCCATACTAAATGGGCATTTTTATATGTTGGGTTCAGGGTAGTATCTAGTCGAGCACTCTCGACTAGAGTTTTCTTACTTGTTTTTTATTAAAATTGGAACTGTATTTATTTTTAGGGTCAGGCATTCATTCACAAACAAAAAAATCTTATATAAAGCAAGAAAATGTGTAGAAAAAGGAGAGAAAAAAATAAATAAAAATAATTCACAGCTAATTAAGTTTAAGCATTTGTTGACTAGAAATCAGTTAAAGATATAAATATTTAATTTGCTTATGGATAGATGACCTTCGTGATATGACTTCTTGCCTTATTACAGGCCCACAATAAAGATGACCTTACAGATAAAATGATAATCTTTGCTCCTAACCTAACTGACTCCATAAAAATAATGCGTTTTATAGATACTAATGACTCGTTGGCCTTAAGACCTTGGCCTTATTCAGCCGAAGGCAAAAATCGCGCAGTTGATGGCTATTTAATAAAGCTATTTTAATGAAAGGCTTTTAATTGCCGATTTGCGACAGCCATTAACATAATTTTGGCAATCATTGCCCAAGGTCAACATTTTGGCCATCTCAAGGGCGGCGTTTGTTGACGTAGCCAAAAGAAAGCCACCTGACTACCCAACTACCTGAAACTGCCTGATGTTATCTTTAAATTAAATAAATTACCGCACGCATCGCAAACAACTGACCCAAATTTAATGTACATATATTTGTATACCTTCTCCCTATATATACATATACATTTAAATGTACAAAATGGTTGGGTGAACAAAAATCGGAATGAAAGCGTGGACAACATCAAACGCAGTGCCCGAAACTGCAAACTGATTACCGCTAATTGTGCCCAAGGAAATTGAAATTAAACAAGCCAGACCCAGAGCCAAACCCGGGTGACCTAAACTATGGCCAGTATATTTATTTATATACATACATATATTTTTACAGTTGTGCCTTTGAAATTAAATGAGGACAATTCCCTTCTCTGACTGAACTAAGACTCATTTGCATCAAAGAAACTTGCTGACAAAATAAATATAAAACAAGTAAGAACGTTGCAGTCGGGCGTTACCGACTGCGGAATACTCATTCACATCCCATCAACAATTTAGTAGTTAAGTTTCGCTCTAATACTGTAGAATATACAGGTTTTTCCGATTTGCCACGCCCCAACTGGGCGTAGACACCTCATTTTTGGTCAGTTTTTAGAAAGAGATAACGGTACCCTAACTGCAAAGTTTGAATGCTTACCCTCAAAAAATGTGAAAATTACAGGGTATTTTTCGATATGCCACGCCCCTAAAGAGGCGTAAAAATTATTTTTGGGGAATCGATAGAGGAGGCTACCAGTAACTCAACTATCCAAATTTGAAGCTTCTAGCTATTATACTTTAGGAGATATAAACTTTTGCGGTTTGCCACGCCCCCTGTGGGCGGACATATATCCGACAAAACTTTTTGGTCTTGGGTGATCAGTCCGAGTATATATACCAAATTTGAGGTCTCTGCCATCAATAGTGTCCAAAATATAGGAGAATTTAAAAAATCACTATATCTTCAGGTCCGATTTGCCACGCCCCTAATAAGCGTAGACTTATAATTTATCTTCAGACTTTATAGAATCATACCATTAGCTGACGTGCAAAATTTCAGCATTCTAGGTTTACAACTTTAGGAGATACAGTTTTATCCGATTTGCCACGCCCCCAATGGGCGTAGATATATCCGCCATAGCTCGTGATCTTGGGTGGTCAACGCGGACCTACATACCAAATTTCAGCTTTCTAGCTCTTCAACAAACATGATTTCTGGTATATCGGAAAATGCATTTTCCGATTTGCCACGCCCCTAGTGGGCGGATCGGGAAAATTTTTACACTTTATAAATGGGAGATATACACGAGTATGTGTTCCAAATTTCAAGTCTCTAGCTTCAATAGCGCCGAAATAGATTGCGTTCATACGGACAGACGGACAGACGGACAGACGGACGGACGGACAGACGGACAGACGGACGGACAGCAAGACGGACATTGCACAAAACCAATATACTGATTCACTTTCGTGAATGAGTATAATAAAGCAAGCACAACTGCAGAGAAAACATATTTTTGCATGTAATTGGACATTTGTTGGCCATTCATCACTTAATTTGAATTATTATTAATAATAAGCCGACTTGTGCCTTGTTTTTTATACAAAATCAAATAACTGATGAATGAGTGAATTAAATGTGTATAGTTTAATGCAAAAAGTGAGCGAATTAAATATGCATGATTGAAAATTATGTTGGATTTATATGTGAGACAAATGGGCAGAGAGAGAGAAAAGGAGAACATAAACACATATTGCATAGTTCAAAATACATGCTCATGAATACGTATGTATATTCCAATTATATATGTATATTTTAGAAGGATAAAAAAGCGTACTCGAATTAACAATGCGTATATTGAGTCGAGTGGCACCGAGGCCAAATCACGTATGTGACTCAGAGACACAATATTATATTGACCGTGAAAGAATTGGACTCGCAGAGAGATTTTTTCACTGCTCGAGCCTCAAACGAGCCGAGCCGAGCCGAGCCGAGCAAATGCGATGTGTTGATACGAAGATACATGCAAAAACTTGAGTGATTCGACGCCTGTATGCTTCAGTTAAATGTTGTATGCCACTCTGGGTCTTATTTATTCTCATTCTTTTTACTGAATGCAGTGAGTTATAAGCCCTTGAGTCCATGCGAACTCCAACGCACTCAACATGTTTTATGCCCCTCACTCATTCAGTCTCATTTCGAATGGACTCTACTTTGCTATGTTATGAGTGCGGCCATGCAGCCCCTAATATGTATATGTCGTAACGTTAATATTATTCACGCTTCGCACTTATAACTATGCACAAAACGAACAACAGCCGATTGCCTTTTGTGACTTGATAGTACTGTTAGCATCAATCTAATATTTCAACAGACAATCACCACTAACACAACGTCATAATATCGAACACATATAATATTTAAGTTAAGCCAATTTATTATTATTATTTTTTTTTTTTTTTTTTTTTTTTTTAATTTAAAGATTGGCTATGCAAAAGTTCTATCTGCAAAAATTTCCTAGAGCTGCTGTTCCTGTCAAAAGCGAAATATTTTGGGCTAGCTATGCAACAGTTTCTTAGACCCTGAGACGCGCCTTTGTTGTAGTTGCAAACGATTCATTTACTCAGCATGTTCAGATGATCGTTAAATTATAGTAATAGCTGAACTAAATAGGAAATATTAAAATTTATGTACATGCTTAAACGTAAATTTTTGCAATGCTCAAGCTCAAGCTAAATCCATTTAATATTGCCAACAATACTCGTATCAGAAATCCAATATAAATGAATGCAATGCAGCAGGCGCTGAGATTAATGTCAGCTTTTGTTGTATTTTGTTCACAAAATGAATATACATTCACACACTTAGACAGCTGACATTGAAGGAGTTGGATCAAAATGGCTCAGGTAGGCTATGAAATAAATTTAGTTTTATAATATAAGCTAACCAGTCAATTTTTATTTTATACCTATAAAGGGTAACCAAATTTCTGTTCTAAGAAAAATGTTCGGCTTGGGTAAAAAAAAACCCGAAAACTCGTACATAGTGCCTCAGAACTCAAAAATCAATTTAGATAATAAACCTGCTTATAAGGAACACATCGCGAATCTCAAGGAGAATAATTACGATCGCACCGTCATGAATAAGTGTCCACATTGTGAAAATATGGCCAAGAACTTTTTGTACCTGGAAAGTCTTATACGCAACAATTGCGATAAGAATCCGAAGTGCAGCTTGTGCCAATCGTCCCTCAAGTATCTACAGTATGTGAATCGAAACATAATGCAAGTCTTTGGAAACTTCGACTCGATTGTGCAGGCTGCACGCGTATTTTCCACACAGGTGCCACCATCGCCAAAATACTCAGTCAGGAAGCCCCCGCCCAAGGAAGAGAAGTCCGGTCGCTCTGAGGGCGGCGCCCATCTAAGTGCACAGAAATCTACAAAATCTCTGAAGCCAATCAAATCGCAAAAGTCCAAGAAATCGATCAAATCATCGAAGTCGGGCAAGGCATTGCCAAAGTCAAAGACCAAGACTTCTGCGGGTGCAAAAAGTCACACGAGCCACGGCAAGATGGTTCTCAAGAGTAAATTCAAGTCGAAACCGGTCAAATCACCGAAGCTGAGCAAACAACTCAACAAGGTGGTCCGCAGCGCCAGCCAGTACCAAAACCTGCGCGTCATGCGCTCCAAGGTGCCCACCAAGACGCTCAAAGCGAAGAAGCTGCGCAGCACAACGGCACCCACCAGCATCAACTGGAGCCTACTTAAACGCAATATGCCCAAACACACCAAGTCATTCGGTGTATAATAAATTGCAGATAACGAGTTTACCTATTAAATGGCCTGACCGACATCATAAACTCTTGAGCTGTATCAAAATTATCCGTTTGAAATTTGTGATGAGCAAATATTTTCATAAAAATAAATATACAACATTTCTACTGTATAACATATTCTACTGTATACATATAACATCATTTTAAAGTGTTTCAGTATTGTCACTTTGAATAAACTGCCGCTCACTAAATTTACATAATTGGCCTTTGTGTTCTCGCTCTAAAATCGGCTTCATAATTTCCTCTGCTCGTTTGCATAAAATTGAGGCTCGACAGCAACGGTTTTCCACACATATTATAATACTATGATAAAATTGTTCGATCGAATTGCAAGGCATAGCTCGATTAAATACAGGGCATAGCATGGCACGTATTCATTTTATTGGCAGTATGATTGGCAATTATCTGGCCTTGTTGACGGCAATCTCAGTTGCCTTTGCGATACTTTTCAAGTGATTTTTGGAAGCAGCTCGATAAGCAGTACATTCAAATCGAAAGAGAAATCATTGAATAATACGAGTGAGTATACCCATTTCTTCTCATTAAAGACATGCATTCAAGTGCTCTCTGAGGAACTTTATTTGATTTTCGATATAAGCCTATCAGTCCTTTCGACAGCGCAAACTCTTTAATTTGAGCTGATCTTTGATGTTGAATCTTTTGAAAATTACTTACAAATTATTTTGCCTCTATTCATGGTTCACTTTACAATTCCCTGGTTTTATTTTCCATAGTAACAGTAAACTTGCCTCACGATTTGTTAGCCCAACTCAATTTTATTTAACAGATGCGAATATTTATATACCCTAAATGCAATGCATATATATAAAAAAAATAAATAAATAAAAAATTATTTATGAATGCTGGGTGTTATATAGGTTAGGCGGAATCTGTTTCTGAGTCCTCAGAGCAATCAACTAGAATACGCTGATGGTGAACTTAATTTAACTGAAAGTCCAACATATGCCTCTTGTGCGCTTTATACACTAGATGTATGTATATATGTATATGTATATAAGTCTGCTCTAGAAAACTTTCAATACTCAAATCGAAATACGTCAGCTTTTGAATATTTTCTATCTATTATAGAAAAACCGAACTGAATTTACATTCACTTATGCATTCATTGTAAGGAAAATAAACATTGCAAATATTTGAAAAGTGATTTTTATAGGAATAGCAACACAGTTTATCCATATATGTACATCGACTGGTCATTTAGAATATCTATGAGTCAGGCATTTCCGCACTCTATGCATGTTGTAGGCAAAGCAAAATGCTTGTCGGTTATTAAATGATATTTTTGTATTTTTACCTCATGGCCAAACAAGTGAGTTTGATTTTGAAGTTAACGAACAGCCAAATATTTTGTCAGTTTAAACTCGAGCGGGGGGCAAACGTCCACAGGGACCGGAGACCGGTGACCGGAGGCAGGAGTCCGGAGACCGGCTCTGATGGCAGCAGGCAGCAGGCAAAAAACGGACAAACGATATAACTATACCAACTGACTTTCGGGATGCCATCGTAAGTTTGACAATTTTACGCTATGCACCCACAAATATGCCGTATCCGCAGCTGTGGCCTCCAGTGGATGGCCCTTCATTTGTTTATCCAGCCACCGGTCATTCATATGTATTTTGTGTGTGTGTGTGTGTGTGTGTGTGTGTGTGTTTGTGTTTGTGCATTTTGCCCGTTTCCAAACTCGCCTCGCTGGGCATTTGGCTAAAACTTATTAGACACAAGTGTATTTAGCGCATATGTGCCAGGCAATGGGTAAATATCTGCGGGTCAGCCGCTCTGCTGGGAAGCAAGCTTATAGGTAAACACATTCATATACAACGTTCGGATGGCCACACTAATTTTTCGGAATATGTCAACATGGGAGCTCGCGAATAGTGCAACAGGAAAAACTAATTTTACTATTGCACAAAAGCGTGTGCAATTCACAGAAAATTACCCCCATGTATTTTAAAAAACTATCTAATTATAAAATAATAATATGAAAAAAAAGTATGTAAAACATGCTAGCCATTTTTTTTTTTTTTTTTTTAATTTATGAGCTTATAATTCAGTTAAAACAGTTTTCATAATTTCACAATTATCTACAATTCAACTAATAACTAGATGAAATGTTATTATTTAAAAATAAATTGGGTTTACATTAATTATTATTTGTTATTTATTTGATTTATTTATTTAGATTTTTTGTTATTTATTTTTTTTTTTTTTAATTATATTTTATTTTTTTAAATTTAGTTTTATTTATGTAATGTTAATTAATCTAAATTTTCTATATCAATCAAGCAAATGTTTGGTGAGCGTAATTTATTACTTTATTCCACCTAAGTTTATTTATTACTTTATATATAGCTAAAATGTCCCAAGTCTATTATCTACATAGCTACAACAGTTCCTTAAATAAAAATTAAATTTGGTGAAATTATTATTATATATTACATATATGTATGTATGTATTTCTTATTTTTATTTTTTTTTTTTTTTTTTTTTTTTTTATTTTCAAAAAAAACTTTTTTTTTTAATTAAATTTATATAATTTAATTTATGCATTTAAGTCTACTTACATTTAACCAATTTATTCAAACAAACAAATATTTCTTTCACAATAAACCGTTTATTGAAAATCATTTTGAATCTCCATGCACATTTGAGGCAGTCGTAGAGCATCGAAAGTACACCCGAACTCTGCTAAATGAACAAAATAATATTTTTGCTGATACTGTGGAACCGACTCCAAACAATGGTGGCAGACCAAAAATTGTGCGACACTGCCGCACAATTCCTTTGTAATTAGATAACGCAACAAAGCAGCAACATGGCAACCACAGCATTTCCGCTGCCGGAACGTTTCAATCGTCTCGCTTCAGCTGCTTGACCAGGCCAACGCGCCGCCAGGCTACGCATAATGCCCCACTCCACCACTCCACCACCCCGCCCCCCTGATGTGCGCACAGCTGATGTGCTGCTGCAGTGCACTTTCCGTACATTTTCATTTTCATTTTGATTTTACGTAAAATGTTGAGAGCATTTTCTGATTATTTTGCAAAATCGCAACGTTTACCGTTGCCATTGGCAGCATAATAAGCCGCCAGCAGGCCGATTGCCGCAGGCACAGAAAATCCGGTTTTCGTTGCTATTTCAATCGCAGCACTTCCCTCCTACAATGCCTCGTAGAGCTGACTATGGCCAATTTCATTGTATGGCCAGACTTTGGGCCAAATGAGATCTTGGCTTAAAGCCCTGTAGCCATTCTGAAACCACTTTACACGGTAGTCTAACCAACATATTCGAAAATGAGCCCCTGACCCTTGGCCGATTAATGCTATGGTCAATGCTTAGTGGGTAAGAGAGAGTGAGAGAGTGGGGGGTGGGGGGAGGCAGGCCTGTTGGCACGCAAATTTATCAAAGCCAAGATGTTGTGCAAGCCGAAGCTTAGCGTTCCACAATGCTGCTGCAGCAAGGGCTTAGCTCCATCTGGCCATAATTAGCCGCTCAGCGTTATGTCCGCAATGCAGAGGGCGTGCGCGTGGGCGGGGCAAGGAACGACGACAAACAAATGGCTCACAAGGAGAAGATTTAGTGTGCTCTCATGCAACTAAACTTAATATTTCACGTGCATTTAACCTCCGGGTTTAAATGTCGTAATTTTCTCATTGGCATCCAGTAACAGAGGCAGCAGGAGGAACAGCAGCAGCAGCAGCAGCAGCAGGAGCAGCACCATCAGACCCGTCCTGAGGCATTGCACGAGTGTTTTACTGTCTCAAAGTTTGTCTCAATTACGTGCGTGCCAGACTGAGACAACTCGCTCCACTGGCCCCCAACAAAATATTAAGACTGCGATATGGTCGTAGAGCATTTCTCAGGGCACACCAAAGTTTCAGCTCGCCGCAGACGGCCCCTCCCCCCTACCCGCCACGCCCCTTCCGTTTGTCATTGGTAACTTTTTAATTAAAAGTTTCATCCGAGTAATGGGATATTTGCACTACGAAATGCGATGTCGACCACGACGATACTGGTGGCGCTGGAGCTATTTGTGGGGGTGTCGCCAGCAACGGTGCTACGCCAGCCACGCTTGTGCTTGTGCCACTTTGCTCTTATTGGTTGCAAGTATCTAATTGCCAAAAGGATTTGCCTTACATAATGTTGCGCTGACCCTCATTCCTATTTTGTGTATTTTCTTCTTACATTTTTTTTTTTTTTATTGGCCGCCAAAACTTTGGCCAAACGTTGCCTAATACCAAACTATGTCCCGCTCAACGTGAACCCAGTTAATGAGCGGCCAACATCACGTGCGCAATTAATGAGCAGGCGTTTTAATTAAGGGGTTGCTCCTCACCTCTCTTCCTCAGTCACTCTCACTCGCTCTATCTCTCTCGCCTGATTTGCTGCACTGTTCGAGGTGGTAAATCTCTGGTTTTGGCCTCGCAATGGCAGCTACAGCCACCTAGCAATTAATTTCGTTCGTGCTTACTCTGATTTTAAATTACGAGCCTAAAACACTCGAGCGCAACACAAACAGATGTTACTTACATATTTATATATATATTTATTTATTTATATATATTTATTTATTTATTTATTTATATTTATATTTACATTTACATTTACATTTATATTTATATTTATATTTATATTTATATTTATATTTATATTTATATTTATATTTATATTTATATTTATATTTATATTTATATTTATATTTATATTTATATTTATATTTATATTTATATTTATATTTATATTTATATTTATATTTATATTTATATTTATATTTATATTTATATTTATATTTATATTTATATTTATATTTATATTTATATTTATATTTATATTTATATTTATATTTATATTTATATTTATATTTATATTTATATTTATATTTATATTTATATTTATATTTATATTTATATTTATATTTATATTTATATTTATATTTATATTTATATTTATATTTATATTTATATTTATATTTATATTTATATTTATATTTATATTTATATTTATATTTATATTTATATTTATATTTATATTTATATTTATATTTATATTTATATTTATATTTATATTTATATTTATATTTATATTTATATTTATATTTATATTTATATTTATATTTATATTTATATTTATATTTATATTTATATTTATATTTATATTTATATTTATATTTATATTTATATTTATATTTATATTTATATTTATATTTATATTTATATTTATATTTATATTTATATTTATATTTATATTTATATTTATATTTATATTTATATTTATATTTATATTTATATTTATATTTATATTTATATTTATATTTATATTTATATTTATATTTTGAGTTGGGTTCCTTCATATATCAGCCATAAATCAATAAATATTTCTTATATGATTGAAATATCTGAGAACTGCTTCTTCTTTTTTGTTGTACTCTGCTTAAAGATCTCTAAATATTTAACAATCCATTTGAGCATCTCACCTATCTTATCGACCACAAGCTACTCTCTCTCTCTAATCTCTCTATATACCAAAAACTGCCTTAGTCTGGAACTGAAGTTATTCACTTTTTTACTTCAAATCCCGTTCTATTCGCAGAGCAGTCAAATCGAAGTGTAACCACCTCTCAGAGACTGGGCCGTTGCCTAATCACAAGCGGAAGTCCGCTCAGAAATTTGCTTTTATTGTTTGCACTTCTGCCAGACGCCTGTGTTGTTGTTTTCTTTTCTCTTGGTATTTTTAGGCATTTGGTTTTTTTGCACTCCTTTTTTTTAGTGGGTGCATTCTTGTTGAGCTTGCTGTCAGCATTGCCTTTCGACTTCCTCATCCACTCGAACTAACATCCTTCCGCAAAGCTGTCGTTGTCGGGACCTTCTATGCTCCTGGTCAATCGCCAGCAGGGAATCCCAATGACAAGGCCGCCTGTCCGTTTGTCAATCAATTGTGAATTGTTTATTGAATGATGTCGTTAGGCTGCATACACAGCACCCAGCACCCAGCACACAGCATACACCACACAGCACACACAACCACCAAGACAGATATTCTCCACTAGGATGAGAGCCGCTGACTGGTTTTGTTTCAACATTCGACAGCTGCTGGTTAGCAGCCGCACTAACAACCGTTCGTTCGGTTGCCAATGTTGTTTACACTGGCAATGGCGACGCTTTTCTTTCTTTTTTGTTTTTTGTTTTTTTTTTTTTTTTTTTTTTTTTTTTTTGCTTTTGCTGGGAGGCGTTTTAATGGAAAACTGTTCACTGATCGATTTGTTGACGTTTTCAACGCTTTGTCTTCCTTTTATACCCTTTTTGCGCTGGACCCTCCAGCGCTGTCGGTATGCTGTAGCCAGCCAGTGCAGTATTTATATTGATTAATTTTGAAAATTGTTTCACTTTAAATATCAAGCGCTGCTTACATTTCGCTAGCAATAAAAAGGTAATTTATTTAATGGAAAGCTAATTGAAAATGGCTCTGTGAGTGTATCCTGTATACGTCAGGACTAACTTGTATTTCGTCTTATTGAGTGCTCTGTCGCATTACTAATACGCACTGTGGCCGCTTTGAATAGATATTCCCAGGGCTCTCATAATCTTGTCCAAATGGCTTTTGTTCGAATGAAATAGTGTTGAATTTCTGCTCACAAACAGCCGCACACACACATACACGCACATACACATATACACACACATGTAGAAAGTCGAGCATCCTTAACAAATGCACGAAATGGCTTTTAAACGAGCCCGACGCCGTGCAGTCTGGCGGGCTGGCTGGCAGAGTCGCGGTCCTGCATCATCGCTTCATTCAGCTGACGCTGACGCTGACGCTGGCGCTGGCGCTGCCGTTGGCATGTGATGATTTGTTCTCACATAATGAAACTCATCAGCAGCAAGGCAGCGAGCACTGCCATGGATTCTGGAGGTCGACTGCCGCATTGGATTTCGCGGCAGGGCGTGAATTGGCTTGGCATAAATTCAAAAAAATGAAACTAGTAACGAAATTCCACTTGGCAATGCTCGTCTACAAAATGCTCTATGGAGTATAATTGGGCATAGCACAGTAAGTAAGATATTAATATCTAAGCGATACTTAAATATTTTTAGGTAACCTATAGGGAATACCAAATAGATAATCAGTTCTTTAATTCCATGATAACTGAGGCCATGTTTATAAGGCTTTTTTTTTTAACTTTTTTTTTTAACACCTAAGCATTTACAGAGTATTAAAAATATATAGCCAATGCGACAGCTACGGCAGAAGAAAATATTATAAAAGCATTTTCCAGTTTCATTTTTCATGGCTCAGCGCGGACCGCACTCCGACGTGCGCGTTTTTCCTTCTTTTACTTTTTCATTCTTTCCCGCTTTCTGCGATTTACTTAATTTGAAGTGAGTCCGAGCCATCAAGCAACTGCTTTTAAAATCAATTTGGCTTTTATTTTTCTTACGACTTGTGGCTTTTACTGCCCGCTTGGCTCATGCTGTCTGGGCAGCTTTTCTTTTAGGTTTTCACTCGGACCACAGCACTATTTATGCACATATTTTGCAGTCATTGTGGAACCACTCTCACTCGGACATTAACTTCGAAGAGGACAAATAGCAGCACTCGCCGACCTTTGTCATCGGCAGCAGAAGAATGAAAATCAGTGAAAATCACATGAATGAAAATCGGTGCACATACTTGCATAACATAATCCGTTTCAGATATAGATATGCGAGTGCAAATATATACATATACCTATATATATTTATCCTATATAAATACATATCTTATTGATATAATCAGTGGACTGAAAGCAGTTTAATTTACCTCCAATCCATCAGTATTTACTCAGCAAATTCATTAGCAGTTATTTTCTCTGGCCCGCCACAAAGACCGCAACAGTTGTGTCTGCCACTAAAAATGAGGGCAATGCATTTATCCCGAGGGTTCCTCACAGTCGAGCTGCGAATCCAGCCAAGCAACGGGTTGCCATGCGCTTATTTTTGATGTGACGCTGATATTTAAAAGTGGAGTTGGAGCATCAAAGTTATGTATATATAACCATATATATATATATGTGCATGTGTGTGTGTGTATATGGTAAACAGGGCCAACATAATTATGCACAAACTATTTATACCCTATAGGCAAACATATTAACACCTCTGCTGGGGGTTGATAACTAATTGACGAAAATGTGCGATGGTAGCTCACTGTAACAATATTTAAAATAAGTTTTAAGTAAGCTTATAAATATATACGTCAATATATATATGCATAAAATATATAAATATATTTTTGAAAATTCATCTGGAAATATTCAATATATAAATATATAAATATATTCTTGAAAATTAATCTGGAAATATTCCCAAATTTTTCCAAATTCTTCAATAATTATTAGCCTCAATCCAAAGGCTTAAAATATTTAAAATTGCTCTTTCAGGGGTTCGCCTCTTATACCTGGGTTAGAATTTGGGTCCCAAACTTATTTGCCTAAATATTAGGAACAAAGCTCCTAAGTTTAATGTCACCAAAGCTTGACTTGCATATTCAAAAAGATTCTCTCTCAAAACATGCCATTCTACAGCTATACAGATGCAGATAAAAGCGGTCAATTTAACTTAAGTCCATGCTTAGGATATGCAGCTGCAATTAAATAAACTGCAGTCACTTTTCGCGTTGGCTTTGCCAAGTCAAAAATAGAACAGGCATCAAGTAGTCTAAGCAGTTATTTAAAAGTTAGCTTCGATTCAATTTTCGTTAGAGAGCTTTGCCAGCATTATATCAATGCAGAACAAAGCGCATAGATGCATTGTAGGGCATCTTGTAGCTGAACACTGAACAGCAAAATATAACTTTTTTTTCTTCTTTGTGTACTTGCGGTAATTGCGTAGCATTTTAAGCATGCTGGCAGCACTCACTGCTGCTGCTGTTGTTGTTGATGTTGCTGCTGCTGTTGCTGCTGCTGTTGCTGTTGCTGCTGCTGCTGTTACTTGACACATGTCAGTCAGTCACTCCGTCACTCATTCCGTGCGCTTGGCTTTGGAGCGTGGCCAAGCGGAAGGCTCAGCAGCGCTGGCAAAAGGCATAGCAGCGCTGGGTGCTGAGTGGGCGTGATTCAGCTAGCGTGAATTTGACTTTGTGTATGCGAAACATTAAATGCACTTGCATCGCGTTGCCTTGCCTCCGTCGGCTCCTGCTCCTGCTGCTGCTGCACTGTTTGCTGCTGACAACAGCAATAATGCAGCACTTAATGTGCCAAATGTCGGTGTGTGTGTGTGTGTGTGTGTGTGTGTGTATGACTGCCTTTATATAGAATAGCCATTGCTGGCATTTGAAGCATTACAAGAGCATTTCTTGTGGCACTTTAGCTTAAACATCAAATATTACGCATACGCCCCGATGACTCAACGAATAGCACTTGGCCAGCAGAAATTTTCATTGCCAGCACGTAATTTGCATATAAAGCCATTGCCATAGCTGGCGCAGAGCTGGCCAGATTTATGGACTTTGAGCGAGAGCCAGAGCGAGCCACCTAGCAGCTTGTCAATCGCAACGCTACTCTGATTTTGATGTGGATTTTGATGTTAATGCTGATGTTGAGTTATGGCCGCACAGCGAACAAATACCAGCTGCAAAACGGAAATTACATTTCGCTTAGTTCGCAAACTCGGGCGAGCAATTAAAGCCGGTGCCACTGGGCGGTGCCAGCCGAGGGCCTGGCATTAAACTTTGCCCATTGCATTAGAAACTGGAGCGTTAAAACAAAGCACACACTTTAAAGTATTTCTCTTAATTTGGATTTGAAGTTTGATCGATATACGGCGCAGTGTGCAGTGTGTGGTGCCAGCCCAGCCCAGCCCCGCCCCGGCCAGCCACAGCAACTGGCGCGGACCAGGCATTAGAGGTCCTGCGAGTGCCTGCGGGTCCGCATCATTTCAACGGCAATCGTCGAGCCGAGCTGTTGATGTGTGCCATCAATTGATTCGTTTGCATTTCTTTTTTGTTGTTTCGCTCGGCATGGCTGCATCTGCTGCATCCGATGCTGCGACTCTGGCGAGCAGCGATGAGGAGCTCACGCCCGCTGGCTTTGGCCTGTCGGGCGGCCAACGGGACTACAGCGATGCGCGTTTGGATCGCGTGGCCGCCTACACGACGACCACGATGCGTCTAAAGCCGGACAAGTGGGCCAAAATGATGCTGCGCGATGAGCTGCGGGTGAGTCCTCCTCAGCTTCACACATTGCACTCTGCACACTAAGCTGAGTCCGGTTGCCAATGCAGCACATTGTCATGGACTGGCTGCACGGACGGACGCGAGTGCTGGTGATGACGCTCAGTCCCGGTGGCGAGCTGGTGCCCAGGGGCTGCATCAGCGACCTGTATGTGGGATATGCGCTGCCGAGCACCGGCACGCGGTCAGCCGCTGCGACGGCAACGGCGACGATGGCGACGGACACCACTGCCACGGCTGCGGTGGTGGCGGCGGCAACGGCTGCTGGCGCATTGGTGGTGCCGCTGCCGCCCGCTTCGTCCAGCTTCACCACCTTGGATGGAGTGCCGCGCGGCAAGTGCGCCTACTTCATACGCCACAATGTGGGCGTGCCGCTGACAGCGGACAACTTCCAGAGCTCCGTGGTCTACGGCGACTTTCCGGTGCACAGCAAAATCGAGACGATGTCGCTGCTGTTCGACGAAGTGCTGCAGCCGCTGCTGGAGGGGGCCGAGGGCGGCTGGCCGGTGCCCGTGCGCAAGGATCTGCAGGCGCGCGTCAAGGAAGTGCGCAACACACTGACCGAGGTGGGTCCTCCAAATCCAAGTCTCTTATCTCGCCATATTAATCTAATTGAGTGCAGCGAGGCGCATGGGGTCGCCAGCAGGCAAACGCTCGCCTTTGTCCCCATGTATTTGGCTTAATTGGGCAAAGTTTTCATGTGTCTATAAGCGCTATTTATACTTTATTGTTATCCCCCACAGATTAAGGGCAAGACCAACAATCGCACAATTTTATCGTTATTAGTTGCGCCAACAGTCGTCGAGGATGTGTCTGCCCACGTGAACCGGGGGTAAGTAGGAGCTGTGCTCCAACTTTGGTCACACTCAATGGCCATTGTCTCAAGGGCTATGTATTTCGTCCTTTGCCCGCATCGGCTGCTGCGTCATCGCTGCTGGCAAGGAACGCTTGTTGGCAGCGGGAGAGAGGGAGAGAGAAATAGAGAAGTCCAACGAGAAAGTAATCATATAAATCGAACTGGGAAAGCTAACAACTTTATCGCATGATTTTGCGTCAATTTATTATGTATTTTCAATAACTTGTTAAATATCTCAAGTTGGCAAGAAATTTTCAATTTGGCCAACAACTAAGCGTCTCAAAGCAACGGAGTCTTGATTGCTTTTACTTCATCCTTTAATTAAAACCCAATACGACTAATTGCAAACGAATTTACCGAAGCTCTATCAAAGCCAATGCTGCAAAGAATTCCTAACTGCAAAACCATTTAAATTAATCAGCATCAAATAGCAACCCATCCAAGTGAGACACAAATTGCTGCACAAATATAGTCTGAGGAGAGAGAAAGAGAGAGAGAGAGAGACAGTATGAGTATGTGTATGAGAGTATGCGCTTAACAAATACCCTGTTTGAGGAAATTCCATATAAAATATGTGAATAGGAAATTTTAAGGCAGACATATCGCAGAGATATCTATAATATCTATAAATGAATATTAAATTAGACTAGAAATTCATATAAATGAGCTTTGGTATAGTCGGCTCTTAAGTTATGCAGGATATCTCACAATAAACAGTTTCATAAAGTATGAGCATTAAATATATTTAAATTAAATTCCATTCCAAGTCGAGTACTAAGCCCGCTCTTTGTTAATTCAATTTACATAAATTTATAGAGGCATATAAATTGCAATAGAGAAATATTTCAAACTCTCAAGTTGTAGGCAAAAATAGAGATTAAGGGGTTTTGAGTAGACAAAAAGAAAATTGATATTATGATTTTCTTATTAGCATTTGCTCACATATAAAAGCCAGTTTATTCTACGACAATAATCGGGTATAAAGAGCTTTGCAAATGCAAAGAATATTTAACATCAACTGACAATTATTTGGCCATAACAATTTGCAAGTCGTCAGACAACAAGTTAGCAATATTTGGCCGAGTTATCAATAAATTAGCTCAAATGCCAAATGAGATTTGTTCGCATGCTGCACAGTCTCATAGCTGCCGTTACAACTAACTGCACAGTTTCATTATATGCATTCTTTAATGGGCATTGGCTATTAAAAGGACTACTGAGAGCAGAAAATACCATCATGGAAATCGGGCATTAAATCAAATAAATTTGGGTCAATTTTATATGCAATATTTTAGACAGCAGAGCCAAAACAGAAGCAACTAAATGAAATCAGGAAAATGCGCAAAACAGCAAGAGGCAGAAAGAGAGAGAAGATAGAGGGAGAGAGAGAGAGAGAGAGAAATCTGGCAAATCGTTGCATGGCCAAGTGCAAATGCCTGAAAATTGGGTCAATAATTATTTTTCTTTTGCCCCATTCAATGAAAAAGTTGCATTCGATTGTTGCAAAACTTTAATTGAAATTGAAAAACCTAAAAAAAAAATGAAATAGAGCAAATTTTAATTATCCTTATATACCAATAGCAATCTAAGGCCAGCCTTGGATACGAAATTTCGCACTCTATTGGAGGAGATGTTCATCAATTGGACAACGCAAATGCACGACATTGTCATGGAGCGCTCCGAGGCCGTTGGCCTAACCATGAGCACCGCCACCTCCAGCTCGCCCAGCAAGCACTTATATGTGGTCACATTGCCGGCTCAGGAGATTACGTTCTGGGCGAACCGCAAGCTCAACTTACAGAACATTTATGAGCAACTGCGCGAGCCCATGCACAAGGCCCTGGCCCACATTCTGGAGCGCATCGAGTCCGTCTACTACGAGCCGTACGCCAAGGCGTTCCGCCAGCTGGTGACCGCCTGGCTGGAGGCGCAGGACGTCTCGCTCTGGCTGCAGCCCTTTCAGCGTCACACGGCCGCCTTCAACTCGGTGCAGTTCAGCAATGCCCAGGAGCTGATTGCGCCGCTGGTCCACGTGCTGCACCTGCTGTGGAGCAATGCGCGGTTCTACCGCAGCACCCAAAGGATGAGCGTGCTGCTCAGCTGTGTTTGCAACATGCTGGTGCATCGCGCCGCCGAGGACTTGGAGTTCCCGCTGCTCTTTCAGGGCGACGCCGACGAGGGGCTGCAGCGCATCATCAAAACGGGCGAGGTGCTGGAGTTTTTCAAGTAAGTGCCAAACACATCCACTCAACAACACTTCTGACCATATATGGCTGCTCAGGCAGCGCATGCTCGAGTACAAAGAGCGCTATGCCAGCAGCCAAGTGCTGTTGCCAGCTTTGCCCAGCTCTTCGACGGCAGCTGCAGCTGCCGGCTCCGCCTCCCCGCCGGCCGACGACCAGCATCAACTGTGGCGCTTCTCCAGCGAGCAAGTGTTTGGCCAAACACTTGATGGCTTCCTGCTACAACTATCGGAACTGCGTCACGTCTTTGAGGCAGCCGTGCAGTTCCAGCAGCTGGAGAAGCTCGAAATTGGAGGACTGCGCGGCAAGCTGCTAACAGCGCGCATCAGAGAAGTAAGTTTCCTGCCATGAATTTCATCTAAATTGCGCTATTAACACACCTATTATCACCTTAGATCTACAGCGAATTCAAGCTGCTCTTCGAGCAATGGACCAATGTAGACATCGACCTGGCTGCGCCCGTCGCCCACAAGTGGAAGTGCTTCAAGCGCGAGCAGCGCCTCTTCTTCCAGCGCATGCAGCAACTGGAGCAGAAGCTGGCCACCGTGCTGCTGCAGGCCTTCGAGCAGTGCTACAGCTGGGTGCACCTGCTTAAGCTGACCCTGATGTTCGGCTGTCTGCTGCAGCGGTGCACCGTTCAATCAGAGCTAATTCACCTGCTTCCACACATGCTCAGCATCTACAACGACGAGCTGCAGCAGCTCGAGCTGAGTGTGGCTGACGTCCTTTTCAACTATCAGTGTCACGGACTCAAAGCGGTTCCCGTGGCAGGCAATTTTCCTCCCATAGCTGGCGCCATCATGTGGCTGGAGCAGCACTTGCATCGCTGCGATGACCTCGGCGCAAAGGATCTAATCGATCTCATCCAGACGCTGTAAGTAGTATAGTATATGTATTGCATGTACTTGGATAATAGATATTTATATATGCATATTTATGGCAACACATGTTAACTAAAGTCAGCATTTAGATAAGATGTAATGTCAGATCAGAAAATCAAATTTCCAGAAACAGTTTCCAGACAGTAGTAATTGACAATTATATTTTGGAAAAAAATATTCCTTCAAGAGAGAGCAATTGAAAGCCAAGGAGTCGGGTTTGAGGCGAATGCCACGCCTTGATTGCGGCAGTTGAGTGCGGAGAGTGAACTCTTCGGATAATTTATAACAAAGTAGTCACTTTGATCGCCCACTACAGACAGCGAACTGGGATAGATTATAATGGTCCAGCTGTAAGGCAGCTGTTCTCTTGGGTATATTGGGTATATTTACATATATATATATATATGTAAATATACCAGTACATATATAAATATGTATGCGTGTATGTACTTCTGCAGCTCTGCTAATCAGCATAGCTCTTCATGCTGTCGCCTGCTGAAGCGATCAGATTTGAATAATTCAATTATGCCATCATCTCTACATCTTATTTACTCTATAATTTAATTGAATATGATTCTCCTTCCAGGCTAATGCTGAAATCGGAGCTAGTAACGCTGCCTTTCAAATGGGATGCATTGGTCTCGCGTCGCAACATTCTCACCACGAAGCTGTGCAACCTGCAGCAAAAGATTTGGCAGGCCTGGCTGGAGGACATTGACAAGATAATTGCCGAGGGTCTCGATGAGCACGTGCTGTTTCAATCGGCCGCAGGTCAGCCGCTGCAGCTGAACTTCGCTCGGGCGCTCTTTACGCTGCTCAAGGAGACAAAATATTTGCTCGCCCTTCAGGCAGCTGGCAGAGTTTCGAGCAAACTATTTCCGATGCCCGAGGCACTGCTCTCGCTTTACGAGCAGCGCGACGCCTACTGGCATCGTCGCATAAGACTCATCAAGATTGATGAGTTCTACAATGGCATCCGTGGCGGGCAGTGCGCCGCAGCCGAGCTGCAGCTAATTGCCGCCGAGCTGGCGGCCATTGATGAGCAAGTGGCCACCGCCTGTGCCCAGCTAACCTGGCGCAATTACGGTAAGTGGGTTAAGCTTATGCAAACATCACTCAACATCAAGAGCTGCTCCCCCAGACGAGCCACTCATCGAGAGCATCTTTGAGAAGTCACGCGATCTGCATGCTCGCCTGCACGAGTCCCATGGCAACCTGGATGCCATACTGGGCAGCATGCGCCGCTGGACCTGCGAGCCACTGCATCAGCGTAATCTATACGGACGCAATCTGCTGGATCTGCGCCATCAGCAAGAGCGAGTGCGGCTCCGTCAGCTGCAATGCGATGAGACGAAGATGCTGCTAAATCGCTTGTTGATTGCCAACTTTTGTTTGTTCTTCAACTACGAACGGCAGCAGCTTCAGCTCTATTCCCGCGACCTCACCGTCCAGGAGGTGAGCCCGCCTTGTTGTGTCAACAATATTATTATTATTGTAGCTGCTGTGTACCTTGATGTTGACAGTTTCTGCACGAATTTCCGGTTGAGCAGCGACGACAGTTCAACAAATATTTGGCCACCGTTGATGAGTTGATTCGCCGTGAAGTAAAAGAGGCTATGAGGATCAGGTTTGACTCCGCCAGTTGCTTAAATTATTCCATTCTCCAGCAGTTTATCACAATTTCAGTTTGTAGCTTGCTTTTCTTATTCTTTTTCCACTTAAATTATTTTCAAGCTTTCACTTTTTCATGAGATTTACTCAAAATTTTCCTAGAAAAATAAATGATTCATGTAGTGTATTTAAAGCAAGATTCTGCACCTCCGATAACTCCATTCCAGAAAACACCTATTTAAGTTAATATTATTATTTTAAAAATATATAATCTTTTAGAAATGCATATATCATAATAGAAAACAGGACTAAAGAATATTGCAAATTATTTCTATGAGTGCAAAGAGAATTTCTCTTAAGCTTTAAATAAATCTAATTAAAATAAACCTTACCCGCTTCAATTAATAGAGTCTTATCCAGTTTATCTTTCCTCTTTCAACCTATCTGATTTTTTACTTATAAAAACTCTTATTCCTGCCTCATTCACACCCAAACATTCTCATTCAAGAATATTTCTAAAGTAGAACACAAAAAAATAAAAAATATATATTTTTAAAAAGTTTAAAAAATAAATATATATTTTTGAATAAATATAATTAAAAAAAAAAAAATTAAAATAAATAAATAATAAATAGCAAGTGAAAAAAATCTATATATATATTTTGACTGAAATTTTCGAAATATATGAATAATTAGAATCAGGAGATATTTATATTGCAAAATATATTTATATGCCTGCTAAGAAAAGGAAAAAAAAACTTCGTTTACATGTCATGCACCTTTAATCACCTTTAATCAAAATAAACCTTGCCTTGTTTTAAATAGTCCTAAAAACTGTCAAAGTACAATACTTCAACTTCAACGATAGATCATTTACTAGCTATCATCATATCATGCTCATCATCATAACTATCGCTTTCATCAGACTTTTCAGGTAGCACCTGCAACATGATAAGTAAAACAACTCACTTAACCATTGTCACGCCCAGTCATGCAATCACAGTGGCCTGCCAGCACACCAGCCCACCGAACGAGCAACAACTAGTATATATACATATATACATATATATATGTACGTGTTTGTATGTATTCATTACATACTGGCAAGCTGCCAGCGCGCCTTTCATGTCTCATCAGAACTAATCAAGTAAATGAACACGAATTTATAACCCACCCGCATTTGAGCACAGCCAACCGCAAGACTGGCAGACACCTTCACCAGCACCGACCGCAGCCAGCACACACATACATGCATACATATATCAACGAGTACAGCAGCAACCGTAACAACAGCAACAACAATAGCAAGTTCGAGAAGAACAACTACATTTTTGCTGGTGGCAGGGCATTCATGCGTCAATTGCATGTTTCACTTAACGGCACTTCGTGATTGCAAGCTGAGTCCTCAGTGGCAGCAGCAGCAGCAACAGCAGCAACAGCAGCAGCGTCATCAGAAAACGCAATCGAAATAAGCACAGAACAAACTCAGCACTAAATTTAATTTTCGCATTACTCATACGCCGTGTAATTCAGTTTAGAGTATTTGCACAAGGAAATGACAGGAACGGCAAGAGCTACAACAAAAGCAACAACAGCAACAACTACAACGGGTGCAGCTAAGGCAACTTCGATAGCGCCCCCAACTTCAAGTATGGCCTTGCCGAGCATGGCTAGGTTGGTGCTACAACAAATCACAGCGCCACAAGCGACATCGACAATAATACCAACAACAACCACAAGCAAAACAACATCAGCCACAACAACAACAACAACAGCAACAGCCATAGCAATCGGAACAACAGCAACAAACGATGCACCGCTTTTCGAAGTGAAATTGGAGCTGACGGAAACGGAAATACGTTTTTCGCCTGGCTTTGATGCAAGTGTGGAAAATAATTTTCAACAAATTGTCGAGCAGCTGTTGCTGGATATAAAACAGACATGCGACTGCATGCCAAGAATTGTGTCTGACAACTCGCTGTCTGACGACGACGACGACGACGACGACGTGGAGGATGACGCTGAGAGCGAGGGTGAGTTGATGCCGCACAGTTTACCATGCACCAGCAGTCGCATTGCAGAAGGTGCCGCCATGCCACGCCATGCCTTGGCAGGCCGGGCGTGCGGCATTCCTGGCGTTTGCTTATGAACTACATTCGCAGCTGCAGCCGATGAGTTGGAAATGCTTTGCGCCAGCATTCGCGACGCCTTGAGTGAAACGGTGCAGGCGGCGCTGAATTATGCTGCCAAATTCCACGCCTATGCGTTCCTTTGGACCCAGCAGAGCGGCGACGTACTGGCTTCCTGCATGCAGGCCGCCCGCGAGCAGACGACCCACATCAGCGGCAGTGGCTATGCCATCATGGAGACGTTCAAAAAGGAGGTAAGAAACTGAAACACAAAAACGAAAAGAAAAATATCAAATGTGAGTGCCCGAAGCACGAGGCAGCAGCAGCTTGCCAAGCGCGCCACACTGATGTGCCCACGCACACGGACACACGGACAGCTGTCGAGTTGCCGCAAAGCTATCGTGAGAGAGGTGGAGAGAGGGGGAGAGGGAGGGAGAGCCAGCAGACAGATGGAGGCACAAGTGACCGAGTGGCTCGCCGGGTCACTCAATTGGCAACCACACAATTTACGTTGTGTAACCCCTGAGACCAATAACGCTTGATAAATGTTGACCATTTAGGGTCAAATGTGTGGCTGAATCGGCCATCGAGCCATCGAGCCATCTTGCTGGCCTTGCCTTGCCCAAATCTGGACAGAGCCAAAAATGCTTAACCACATGGCGCCTGTGACTTATGCCAAATAGCAGAACGATTCACTGCTGTGAATACAGCAGGCAAATCGCTTGCGTATGCGTAATATTTTCTTTAAACAATTATCAAACGCCCCAAAAAGTATGCAATAAATAACATAAAGACGCCGCAGCAAGCACAACAAAAAGGGCTGAACACAACAACAAATCATGGTCGAAATGCACATGTATAGATACGGCGTGAGGCTGTAAATTGAGTGCCACAATAAAATGCCCGAAATTTACCAAAATTTATACATATGTATATCTATGTATGTATGATATTTCTATCAAAACGAATCTCGATTGTCCTTCATTTGCCAAAGCTACAACAACTACAACAGAAATATATGCCCAAATGATTTCCAATTTTAATAAAGATAAATTATTTTTTGCTTACATTTTATAACTCTTACTTTTTGTTTAAATAATTGCTCTTAATTTGAATTTGTTCACCCGATCGTTGTCTCAAACAAACAGATTTTGTATATGACAATTAATAAACTGAAATTTCATTGAAGTAATAAAAGACATATATAAAAAATTATATAAAAAATATATATATTAAATGAATCAATAAGAAAATAAAAAAATATGACATTTATAATAACTTGTTAACAATGAAGTAATTTTATTTTTTCTTTATAATCACAATATATAAAAAAAAAAATTATGTCATATATAAATATATTTAAATCTCAATTCTTTAAACGATTGAATATTTTCAATGCATTTGCTCTCAAAGAAATAATAATAAAGTAATCAATATAAAATTTTAAAATACCCTTTAATAAATTTATCAGTTTATTATATTATCTAAAAACAGAAAATGATTTCAAAGCTTTCGCAAAATATATTCAAATCAGTTTATTGATTGGATAATATCATTTTTAATAATTAGCAGTAATTAAAAATAAATTTAAATAATTATATCAATTTATTGTATTATCTAATAACTGATAATACAATATTTTAAAGTTCCAGTCATAAATTAAAAAAAAAAAATACATTTCGGCAAATATTAATATACTATCCTATCATTGGATGATTTAATAGTTCCAGCCAAATCTGCCTTAATGAAGAAGCTGAATCAGAATTTCAAATACATATACGTATGCAATACATGTGTTCAGCATAGACAATGCAGGATATTCAATTAGAGCATTGTCTCGCTCACTCTAAATTTGAATTCAAATACAGTTAACAGACGTTGGCCGTTTGCATAAAGCAGACGTTCGTAGTATATTACCCTAACAAGCTAAGGGCAGTCGAAATCACTGACCGGCATTTTATTTATGAGCGGCAATTGGGAGTCGCCTCGGGCGCAGCTGGTGCGCTTAATAAACGCTACGGCTGAACGTAGTCGGAATAAACGAGTAAATGGCACACGAATTGGGCTTTTGGCCACCCACTCACACACACACACACACACGCATACACATACGCACACATATGTGCTAAATTAGCTTGAATAAATTTCGGTTTAGTCCAGGCAAATGAAGTTGTCAACGCCCCAAGCATCTTTGCTGAATCTCATCTGCAGATCGAGCGCTACAACGAGCTGCACGATGCGATTGACCAATGCGAGGATGGGCACTGCCTGAACGGCTGGCTGGCCCTCGATGTGAGGCCGCTCAAGCACGGCCTGCTCAACCTGGCCTGCAAGTGGTCGCACCTGCACAAGCAATGGCTGCTGCGCTACGTACAGAAGACGCTGCAGGTGAGCTAGCTGGAGTAATGGCCCGAAAAAGTATGCTGTCGAAAAGTTAATTGGCTTTAACAGGAGCTAAACGGTTTCATTGCGCTCAGCCACGAGACACTGCAGCTGCACATCGGGCGACAGGACTTTAAGGCGCTGCTCCGAGTGCTGTCCGTCATGGCGGAGATACGGGAGCGGGAGCCGTACGCGGACAATGTGTTTAAACCGCTTAAGGACATCGTGGCGCTCTTAAAGACCTACAACGTGGAGTTCGAGCCGCAGCTGGTGCGCAACATTGAGCAGCTGCCGATGCAGTGGCAGCAGCTGAAGCAACAAGCTCTGGCCAAACACGAGGCTCTCCAGGACACACGCTACTACCAACAGCAGCGCGTAACGGCACTCATTGGCCTGCATACGTGCCACGTGCAGCATTTTGCCAAACAGTTCCAGCGCATGCCGGTAAGCAGAGCTCCCCCTACCCCCACTCCAGTTTGCTTTGGCTCCAGTATTAGTGTCTGCCTTACACATTCCCCAGTTCTTCTGTGTGCCCTGTCCACAAATTTACGATGCCTGCGACCAGGTTTACGTGCGTCTCCATCGCTTTGGCAGCCAGCAGCGGCGGTACGCACGCTGGGCCCGGCTGCTCGATATAGCCGAGCCCGACACGGCCACGCTGGAGCACTGCCGGACGGAGTTGCGGCGCGTAAAGGTAAGCAGGATGCTGACTGTATTTGGGCGCTTTCATGTGGCTGACAGATTTCGTGCCGCCCGCAGCAATTGTGGGACTTTGTGCGCGTCATCGAATCCTGCATTGTTGACTGGCATGCAACACCTTGGCTACACATCGACACGGACGACGTGGAGCACGAGTGCAAGAAGTTCACGCGCGATTTACGCACACTTGACAAGTGCATCAGGGACTGGGCCCCCTATGTTTATATTGTGGGCGTGTTGCGCGAACTGGTTGCCTCGCTGCGCGCGGTCACCGAGCTCCAAAATCCAGCAATTACCGAGCGCCATTGGCTAGAGCTGATGCAGTTGTCAAAGGTAAGCGAAGCGAGAAATCACAGCCAGCAATGCTGAAAGTCAATAGCAGCAGCTGCAGCACCACCCCACCACCCCCCACACCCCACACCTCCAATCCCAGTCTCATCATTGCATCACTGCAATTCCAACTGATTGATCCACAAAGCACCATTTTACACAGCGCCTTGCCAATTGCATCCCGCTGCAGTTTCACGTGTGAGTATTTGGCAATCGCATTACCTGCAGCATGGATTACAGTTGCCATAATCCACCCAGGGCGTTCCTCGTTGAGTGAGATACGCTTAAGCTTGCCCTTCCGCTGCACTGCAATCAAAATCATATTATTTACTATTACAATTCATTTCAGGCCAATTTAATTATTATTATTAATTTTTATACAGAGCTTCGAATTGCTAAAAATAAATCGAATTTATTCCAAAAACCTATTAAAAATTTATGTTCGTATTATTATAATTTCATTAAATTAATGTTTTCATAATTTCGTTGTACCTCATCCATTGTTTATTACATAATTATTGGCTATTTATTTACATAAGTACAATTGGTTAGTTCGGAACGCTTAGCAATTTGTGCATTCCATATTTCATGCGCGGAATCAAATAGATTCTTTGATATGTTGTCAAAATATTTATGTAATTCATATTGGTTGTTCTGGCACATTTGTATGTAATGCAAATTTATATAACGCACATATTTTAATTCAATTAGATTGCGTTTAATTAGCTGCGCCACATTAAATAAAAAAGGAAAAACTAATAAAATAAATAAATAAAATACGGATTTTTATTCTCCGACGCACTTTTCAAATAAATAATTATAATTCGCAAAATTTATAATTAACAGGAGATTTGAAGCACAGAAAACCAGAGGGACATATTTGATAATTTAAATTATGATTTTTAGCTATAAAATGTGCTCACATTTAACCAACTCAACTCGATGTCTATTACAGCTGAATGGACTGCACGATATGGATGAATTGGTATGTGAAAATCTATAAATTCTCGGAATATGCAATTAAACAGTTTTTGAAAATTGCTCCTCTGCATGCCATAGAGTTTCATTGTTCATTATGCCATATTAATAAGCTCATGAATTGAACTTGTTGCATTTACGCTGCAAATCCGAGCTTATTTGCGCTCATAGACTTCTATGTTGCCAGGGGTGATTATGTTGCTCCTGAGCGCCTTATGGCTTTGGTAAGCTGATTGGCAGGCAAGTCGAGTGCATTAATTTAATAATTTGACAATCAGATTGAAAATGGGTTTGCTCTAAAACCGAGCTTGATATGCGTATGAGTAGTACATAAAATATCATATATCCACACGGCCAGACCTTTGGGGCCAAACCCCTCATAACAATGCAGTTACTATGTCAAATTAACTGAAACAGTATATATATCTATATATGTGAGGGCATCTGCTACTCGAGCACTCTGGCTTATTAACAGGAGCAGGAGTAATTATTAGCAGCAGCTGCTTGACGAAACAGGCAGCTTGAATTATTTTGAAAGTCAATATCATGCACATTTGCAGCTAGGAGCGAAATTGCTTAAAATTAATAACGAGCAATGGTTCGTATATTAATTGACATGCAACCTAATTGTATTCATGGCAGCTCAAGACCAGAGACAGAGACAGACAGAGAGAAAAAGAGAGAGAGAGCCATTTGAACATTATAATTGTCAATGCAATCCCAACAGCTTTCATACAAGTGCAATGCGTCAACAACTCTGGCACAGCTGCTGAGCCTGCAGCTGCATCAGCACGAGGAGGACATTAAGAACACTGTGGATCGTGCCATCAAAGAGATGACGGTCACCAAGGTGCTGGACGACATTAAGGCCACATGGGCGCATCTGGAGTTCGAATTGGAAGTGCATCGCTCGCGACCAACGGTGCAACTGCTTAAGGTCTCCGAGGAGCTGATCGAAACGCTCGACGATAATCAAATGCAGCTGCAGAATATTTCCACCTCAAAGCACATCGAGTACCTGCTGGACAAGCTGAGCTACTGGCAGCGTGTGCTGAGCGGCATTGACAACCTCATTGTCAACTGGTTTGAGGTGCAGCGGAAGTGGATCTATCTGGAGTGCATCTTCATTGGCTCAGCGGACATTCGCTCCCAGCTGCCCGTGGACGCGGCCAACTTTGAGCGCATCGACGAGGACTTCACCAATCTGCTGGCACGCGTTACAGCCGTGCGGGTGGTGATGGACGTGGTGCTGGGGCACGAGGATGTGCTGCAGCAGTTGCTGGAGCTGCAGAAGCGTCTGTCGGTTTGCGAGAAGGCGCTGAACGACTATTTGGAGACGAAGCGCTTGGCCTTTCCACGCTTCTACTTCATATCATCCGCCGATCTGCTGGACATACTCTCCAACGGCAACAACCCGCAGGTCATCGATCGTCATCTCATCAAGCTCTTCGACTCCATACTGCGCCTGCAATACGAGACGAACACCACGCACGCCGTGGGCATGCACTCCAAAGAGAACGACGAGTATGTCGCCTTCGTGAGCAACCAGCTGCGGGAGCAATCGGCGTACATTGACTGCTGCGGCCGGGTGGAGCTCTGGCTGAACGCTGTCATCCAACAGATGCGCAGCACGCTCCATGAGCTCTTCCGACGCGCTCTGGGCGCGTTCTGGGAGAAGTCGCGCGACTTGTGGCTCTACGATTGGCCGGCGCAGGTGGCGCTCTGCTGCAGCCAGATCAATTGGACGGCGGACGTGAATCGCTCGTTCGCCAGCATGGAGGAGGGCTACGAGGGTGCCATGAAGGAGCTGCACAAGCGGCAGATAGCCCAGCTGAATGCCCTAATCAATTTGCTATTGGGCGAACTCTCTGCCGGCGACCGACAGAAGATTATGACCATCTGCACCATCGACGTGCACTCGCGTGACGTCATTGCCAAGATCATTGCCACGCGAGTAGACAACTCGTTGGCCTTCCAGTGGCAGAGCCAGCTCCGACATCGCTGGGACGACGATCAGTCGGGCAGCTCCAGCGGCTGCGCCACCTCGGCGACCACAGTCAGCACCAGCGGCGCCGACGAGGATTGCTTTGCCAACATCTGCGATGCCGAATTCCGCTATGCCTATGAGTACTTGGGCAACACCTCGCGGCTGGTGATAACGCCTCTAACGGATCGATGCTACATCACGCTGACACAGGTGAGACTCCACAAAAAACAAACAAATTATCGCCTTATTGAGATTCATTACAAAAGTTTGATTGTTTTTGTTTGCAATATTGAAGGTGTTAAAATAACATGGCTTTCAAATTTGGAGTTCGCTCGACCGAAAAAATTGCCAAACATGATTGTTCATGTGTGTGCAATTGAAGGTGTTATAATGATAAATTAGTATTGCATTGAAAATTGGGAATTATTATAATTTATATATTTATTATATACGCAAAAACAAATTGACAATAGTAAATCTCATATATAATTGCCCATAAGAAGGTTTTATGAAGGAATTGATTCTCATATCACGCACGACTAAGTCAATGACTATGGAAGGCTTTCTCTTAGCATGTATTGAGTCTCTTATATAGACTCTGAGATAGGGAGTCTCTCACTATAGACTCCAACAGAGCTAAAGCTTTAAGAGACTCTGAAAGTGTAATGAGCTTGTGGTCAGTCGTTAATGCAGACTCTAGCAGGTTAACAGCTTCCCAATTAATCTAAACTAACCACACACATACAAACATTTAGTATCCTCCAGTAGGACAGCCATTCTAACTTGGACAGAGTCTTCTTTCGGCTAACATGAGTTTTGCCAACTCAATTGAAAAAAGGTTCCTTTTTATATAAGGTCTTAAATTAGTCTGAGTTAACCTTAAGCCACACGATGAACATCGAAAGCTCAGCAAAATTTCCATTTCTATTAATGATTTTGATTTCAATATGCACATTCCATATTGCTTTCAAATTATGTGCTGTTCCATTTTGAAAGTCTCTTTCTCTTGAAAACTGAGACTCATTCATATGTAAAATTAATATCCATTTATTGTCAATGATTCTGGAAATCTGCAAATGGTTAGCCCTTTGAAATTGTATAGAGCAAGTCTTAAAGCTACTCTAAGTCTCAAAATAATGAATTGCATCCAGGAATAATTTAATTCAAATTTTCTATCATTTGTGTTTATCCCATTCTCCATTGATGAATGAGAAATCATGCGATTCGCAATATTCCCAGAAGAACTTTGCCTTTTAGTTTCCCTACATCTCAATTAATTTATCTAGGAATTTGATTTACATGTTAGTTAAGTTGTACATATGTATATGTACATATATACAAATATTATACAATATATTGCTTGCGTTAAGCACATACATATTACCACTTATTATCTGCATGTACATTACCTATTTCTGCTGTATAATTTTAGTACAGTGAGCACCATACCCCACTGCACTTAATTACGAAAATTCCAATGAAATTTGTTGCTTTGACTAATTAAAGAAGTGTTTTAATAAACAAATATGAAACAATTTGGTAAGAGAGGAATAGCAGGGGATATGTTTCATGTATGTATAAATTTAATAATAAATTTAAATAATTGAGAAATAGATGATAGACAAACTTTAATAATAATAGCTGGTACTGCTAAAATTAGGGCATTTTACATGACAAATATAACTGAATTAGAAGTTAGAAAAATTAAAAAGTTTTAACAACAATATCTGGTACTAAAAAAATTATTTGATTCAGCTTAAACTCTGGCTCACATAGTGAGAGCTTTAACAAAATAATTCAAGCGAATTCATAAACGCTTTTAGAGAAAAATGTCATATAATTAAGCTACATGGAAATAATAATTCGTATTTATTTCAATTTAAGCTACAAATCATAAAGGCAGAAGTAATGAGCTTATAGTAGCAGAACTTCAAGGCTTCAAACTAGCTGACTGCGAGTCATTTGTCTGTGATGGTAAAAGCGTTGCTTAGCAAATCCCGGAAACTAATTAGATATCGCATGAGCAACTATATATACATATATATTTATATGCGAATGTATATATGTAAAAACACTAAATGAATGAACTAAATAAATAAATGCATAAACTAAATCTGGAAGTTACTAAAATAGAAATAAAAGAAATAGAATTAATTCGTGTCCGACTAAGACGACGTCCATTAAACTTGATTTATGACTGCTATTCTAGAAGCTCAAGAATTTTATTTTGACATTAATTAATACGGCTTAAAAACTATAAATGCATATAAGTATATAAATAAATATAAAAAAAAATTTATAATATAAAATATATAATATTATTATATACCATATACTATAAGTATATAAATAAACATTTGTATATAAAAAATATATATAAATATAAAACAATTATATAATAATTTATTATATAAAGTATAAACATATATCTAAAAAAAAATATACAAATAAAAATATATAAACATGTAACTAATATATATATAACATATAAATATATACATATATATGTATTTATGTTAGAATCAGGGACCGTAACGATTATAACTTTTATAGGAAAAAATTAAAAAATAATTATTATTTTTTGATAAATTAAAAAAAAATTATTTTTAATAATTAATTTAATTTTTTTATAAAAAATAACCAATAAAAGTTTATCTTTTTTTTGAACTCGCCATAAAAAAATATCCTTATGTGTGTTTTCCTCTCTCTTTTTGGGAATACTTTTGAGCCTCAATTTTTTTAAATGCGTAACACTTATTTGCGGTCCCTGGTTAGAATATATATCTCAAATACATATTTCCTTATTACAATTTCTTTAACGAAAATTCCTTATGTATTGCATACATGTAAGTATTGTATGCACATAGTTAAGCTCTTATTATGTTACTTGAAAGCAAGTAAAAGTCCAATTAGTGCATGTGCCTGGTGCGGAGAGAAGTTGCTGCTTTAATTTGTTGCCATTTGGTGTTGATTTTATGCCAATTTGGCCAGTATTTAAATTAAACAACTCGTTAGTGGAGAATAAATTCCGTTTGCAATTTGCATACCTTTGCATACCCACACACACACACATACACACACGCACACACACATATAGTCGCTGCATCTGGTGATGGGAGGAGCGCCAGCTGGACCGGCGGGCACGGGCAAAACGGAAACAACGAAAGACCTGGGCCGTGCACTGGGCGTAATGGTTTATGTCTTCAACTGTTCGGAGCAAATGGACTACAAATCTTGCGGCAACATTTACAAAGGTCTGGCCCAGACCGGCGCATGGGGCTGCTTTGACGAGTTCAATCGCATCTGCGTGGAGGTGCTCTCCGTGGTGGCCGTTCAAGTGAAGACTATACAGGAGGCGATAAGGGTGCGACCGCAATGTCTGGGATACGTGAAGCTTTCGCAAATTGATTTTACCTTCCACTTCTTTGCAATGCTGCACATTGATTACATTTCGCTTGGCTCCTGGAAACGGACGACGCTGGATGTTGCCTCTCTCTGCTGTTGCTGTTGCTGTTGCTGCTGCTGTTCCTCATGCTACTGTTTACAGATGCATAAAACCCAATTTATCTTTATGGGCGAGCGCATCTCGCTGGAGCCGTCGGTTGGCATTTTTATCACCATGAATCCCGGCTACGCTGGCCGTACCGAGCTGCCGGAAAACCTGAAAACATTGTTTCGCCCATGCGCCATGATTGTGCCGGACTTTGCTTTGATTTGTGAGATTATGTTAATGGCCGAGGGCTTCCAGGATGCACGTCTGCTGGCACGCAAATTTATCACACTGTACACGCTGTGCAAGGAGCTGCTGTCCAAGCAGGATCACTACGACTGGGGACTGCGCGCCATCAAATCGGTGCTGGTTGTGGCCGGCACATTAAAGCGCGATGACCACAGCCGGCCAGAGGATCAGGTGCTAATGCGCGCCCTGCGTGACTTCAACATACCCAAGATAGTTACCGAGGATGTGTCCATATTTATGGGCCTGATAGGCGACCTCTTCCCAGCCCTCGATGTGCCGCGCAAGCGCGTGTTCGAGTTCGAGAAGACCATTCGCCGTGCGGTCAATGAAATCAAGCTGCAGCCCGAGGAGGGCTTCCTCATGAAGGTGGTGCAGCTGCAGGAGCTGCTCGATGTGCGCCACTCGGTGTTCATTGTGGGCGATGCTGGCACCGGCAAAACCAAAATTTGGCAAACTCTGCGCGAAACGTATCGCATACAGAAACTGAAGCCAGTCTGCCATGTCCTCAATCCCAAGGCGCTGTCCAACGACGAGCTGTTCGGCATCGTGAATCCTACCACGCGCGAGTGGAAGGACGGCCTCTTCTCCTCAATAATGCGCGAGCAGGCCAATATGCCACCGGGTAACCCCAAGTGGATAGTGCTCGACGGCGACATTGATCCAATGTGGATCGAAAGCCTCAACACGCTGATGGACGACAACAAGATCCTGACGCTGGCCAGCAACGAGCGCATTTCGCTGAGACGCGAGATGCGACTGCTGTTCGAGGTGGGCCACCTCAAGGCGGCCACACCGGCCACAGTCTCCAGGGCAGGCATCTTGTATATCAATCCGCAAGACTTGGGCTGGTCACCGTAAGTTCTAATTGATTTTACTTGGATTTTTATTCCCTGAACCCTTTGAATATAGCAAAGTACGAATTTTTTTAAATGTATGTAGCAGGCGAAAGGAGGCGTGGCAGATACCATGATGCTTTCTGACTCAGTACGAAAGGCCGTCAAGCACTGTCCGTCCGTCAATTCGCATGTCAGAATGCGTCGACCTTAAAGTCTATACGAGCTAAAGACTTGCCAAATACTTATATATTTATATGAAAATCTGTAGCTTTAATTTTAACAATTAACAGCTGTTATCCTTCATCTGTTATGTTTTATTAAGCCATACGAGGCACTCCAGTAACTCCTTTGCAAGCTTCTTATCTGTTACTTCTGCCCATTGGGATTTGCGTTAAAAAAAAAAAAAAAAAAAAAAAAAAAGAAAAGACAAATATTTTATTTTTGTTATGAATTTCTATATTATGCAAGTTAAAAACTAGACTCAAAAAATTTAGAATATATTTTTATTATTATGATTTATTATTATTATGTATTTATATAGTTTTGAATTGTGTTCTATTCCGAATTTTACTAATCACTTCAAATTGAAAGTCTATTAAATCTATAACCTATAAGTGAAAGAGTTTTTTATTTTTCTAAAGTTTAGAGATATTTAATAGATTATAAAATTATAAAAATTTAATTAAAATCGCAGCTGAAATACTAAAGATATTGAGTTATTAAAGTTTGATGAATTAGCAATAAATATGGCAACAGAGCCATACCTCTTCCTATATATTCTAAACATCATATTGTAAGAGCTACTACAGCTGCAAGTACTCTAGCTACTTTGGCTAAGATTCGCAAGATGATATTCTCGTAATGATGCAGTTTCGGTCTTGTAATTACAATAGCAGTGTATTAACGGTGTTGGTAGAGGCTACTCGATTGTGAAGTTGTGACAAGAGCGCGACACTTTTTCTAAGCCGTGAATATTGGTAATCTCAGTTCATTCAGAGTTCAGAGTATCTCCTAGTCAGACTTACCAACTGGCGTCTTCTTACATGGTATGTATTAAATTTTAGCTTTGTCTCGTCCTGGCTGGAAACGCGTGCGAATATGATCGAGCGGGGCATACTGACGACGCTCTTCGAAAAATACTTTCCCAGCCTGATGCAGAGGCAGCGGGACTTTCGTCGCATTACGCCCATCACGAACATGGCCATGATTCAAATGACGTGTCACCTGCTCGAGTGCTTGCTGGACAGCGACCCAGTTGAGGATGACGCTGCACACGGGGGCGACAAGCATTTGGGTGTCAATGCACACAGCCAACACCAGGGCGAGCTATCGCATGAGTCCGTCGAGCTGGCGTTAGAAACCATCTTTGTGTATGTTACGCTTTGGAGCTTCGGCTCGGCACTGCATCAGGACACGATTGTGGACTGGCAGCGCGAGTTTCACAAGTGGTGGACGGGCGAGTTCAAGGATGTCAAGCTGCCCAGTCAGGGCACCATATTTGACTATCAGCTTAATGTGCAAACACTGAAGTTCCAGCGCTGGTCAGAGCTGGCCGCTCAGGAGCAGCTCGAGTGTCAAATCGATGCCGAGCAGCCGTTGCAGGTGCGTGCTTGACCTAGTTGGAAATGAACTAATCATGCGAACAAAGCTTTTGGTTACACACTCACACACACACACACGCACACACACATACACTCGCACACATATAATCACACACAGAACGTGCTCATTTCAACTGCAGAGACCACACGTCTGGGCTACTTCCTCAAGCTGCTTATCGACCGCAATCTGGCCTGCATGCTGGTGGGCAGCTCCGGCTGCGGCAAGGGTGCCATCTTCCGTGAGCTCTTCAGCAAATATGCCAGCGCACAGGAGCTGCTTGAGATTGCCGTGACAGCTGTCAGCGGCAGTCAGCAACAGACGCCGGCCGTTGCAGCCAATCCTGTTGGCGTTGGCGTTGGCGTTGGCGTGCGTCGGAAGCTGTCCTCGTCGACACCATTGCTGACCACAGTGCAGGCGACACACTTTAACTTCTACACCTCATCGGAGATGTTCCAAAAGATGCTGGACCGCCCGCTGGAGAAAAAGTCGGGGCGCTGCTTTGCGCCGAGCGGGCCGAAGCGCCGACTGATCTACTTCGTCAACGACCTGAACATGCCCGAGGTGGACGCCTATGGCACCGTGCAGCCGCACACCATAATGCGCCAGTTCATGGACTACAGGCAGTGGTGAGTGGTGGCTCAGCACGATTCCTTTGATTTAACAGCAGCTGAGACTATTGTCGGTGCCATGCCTAGGTACGATCGCCAGAGGCTTCAGCTGAAGGACATACGGCATTGCCAGTTCGCGGCTTGCATGAATCCGACTGCCGGCTCCTTCACCATCGACCCGCGGCTGCAGCGCCACTTTTGTGTGTTCTCGGTGGCTCAGCCCAGCGAGCAGACGCTGCACCACATTTACAGCAGCATCCTGAACAGCCATCTGGAGCAGCCGGCGCTGGGCTTCAACAAGGAGATCCGCTCCATAGGCAATCTCCTTGTGCAGGTGGGCATCGCGCTGCATCGCCGCGTCGAGTACGCCTTCCTGCCCACGGCCATTAAGTTCCACTACATCTTCAATCTGCGCGACCTGACCAACATCTACCAGGGCGTGATGCACAGCGTGGGTGCCCCGATCTCCGCAGGTGGTGCGGCCAGCAGCTACAGCGGCACAGTCTGCAGCAAGCCCGCCGAGCTGATGCGCCTCTACGTGCATGAGGCGTTTCGCGTCTACCACGATCGCCTGGTCGATCAGTACGACATCAAGTCGTTCAAGTCCTCCATTCGGGACATATTCAAGAAGGATTTCGAGGACTTTGACGAGGACTTTGTGTTTGCGGAGCCACTGATCTACAGCCACTTTGCCCAGTCGCTGGTGGACCAGAAGTACATGCCGCTCAAGAGCTGGGACTCGCTCTACCAGCTGCTGCTGGAGGCGCAGGCCAGCTACAACGAAATTGTGGGCTACATGAACTTGGTGCTATTCGAGGATGCCATGATACACATATGTCGGTAAGCTGAAGGCTAGCTCGATTTATTGATATCACATCACTTATATTATATATCTCAACTTTTATAATCTTATACTTTAACTATGCTTTTCCTTCCCAGCATCAATCGCATCCTGGAGAGTCCACGTGGCAATGCTCTGCTGATTGGTGTTGGCGGCTCTGGCAAGCAGACGCTGGCACGCCTGGCCGCATTCATCTCCTCGCTGAGCGTGTCGCAAGTGCAAATCAAACGCGGCTTTGGGCTGCTCGACATGCGGGACGAGATTGCAGCGCTGTACATGAAGGTGGGACTCAAGAATGTGGCGTCGGTTTTTCTCATCTCCGATGCTCAGCTGCCCGATGAGTCGATACTGATGCTGATCAACGATCTGCTGGCCTCCGGCGAAATACCCGAGCTCTTCAATGACGATCAGTTGGATACGATCGTCAATGGCATACGCAACGAGGTGAAGCAGAGCGGCACCTTGGACACCAAGGAGAATTGCTGGCGTTATTTTGTGGAGAAGGTGCGACGCCTGCTCAAAATCGTGCTCTGCTTCTCCCCGGTGGGGCAAACGCTGCGCATACGTGCCAGAAAGTTTCCGGCCATAATTAGCCGTACGGCCATCAACTGGTTTCACGAGTGGCCCCGCAGTGCACTGGAATCGGTGTCCCAAAAGTTTCTCACCGAAATCGGTGACATATTGGAGGTGTGTGCGATACGCTGACTTTATTATTACACGCGGCTGTCCGACGCCGTTTACAATTTACAACTTTAAACTGTCAAAATGACAACAGAAGGTGCCACAACACATACACACACACTCATGCACTCACACACACACAGCTGTAGCTCGATAGCCCGAGAAGTCAACTGACCCCCATTCATTTGCAGCCCGAACTCGTGCCGCCCATCGCCTGCTTTATGGCCTACGTCCACGGTACTGTGAATCAGATATCGAAAATTTATCTGCAGAATGAAAAACGCTACAACTACACCACACCGAAAACCTTTCTCGAATACATTTTCCTCTACCGCAAACTGTTGGTCGACAAAAACGGCGAGTTCGCCGAGCGCATCGGCCGGCTGCAGAGCGGCATGGCCAAGCTGGCCGAATGCGCCCGTCAAGTGGACACCCTGAAGGTGAGCGTAAATAATAATGTAATAAAAGAAGAGTTGAATCAATTTAACGACCTGCAAATTTAAGACCTATACGAGTAGCATTTTAATTCATCAAAATCGGTCGGTGATAACTTTAATCAGCTATTCGAGTAGGGTAAATAAAAAAAATGCTACATTATTTTCTTATTACTTATTGCATTTCTTACTTAATATTTAAATATTTTAAACATATTTATAATAATAAAACCAAAAAAATGGCACTTCATTTATTTATTTATTTATTTATTTTTTTTTTTTTTTTTTTTTAATTCTTTATTGCATTTCTCAAAAAATATACCAATTTAAAATAAATTGGCTTAAGCGCAACAATTTTATAAATAAAATTGCGGGCATAAAAATTGTAGAGTTATTAAATTAAGTTTTTATTAAAAACATTTCTGAGTATTAATTGAACTACCGGATTGACGATACCATCTGACCCGCTCAGATTTTTTATCAAGGCGCACAGGCCATGTAGTGGACATGGACGTACGCACACATGGCGGCAGTTGAGATTCGTTTTTTTTTTATTTTTTTTTTTTTGCCATTGTCTCTGCGATATTCGAACCATCGCGTCGCGTCGCGTCGCTTCGTGTCGAGTCTGTCATTCAATTAGTACGCTTAATTGAATTGTTGTTACAGCAAATCTGCTGTGCATAGCCCGTGGCAAAGTGGGCCACAGTGATGTCTAGGCGGAGTGGAGAGCCGGTGAAGTGTCGATGACGATACCCTTTGCATTGCAGGAGCCGTTTCCGGTTACGCTGCCAATGGCTGTCGATGGCTTGCAATGGCGCCGCGTCAATCGCATTTATTTTGTAGCATACTTTCGAGCGCCAAACAAAAACTGCTCACTCAGACGAACAAAAAACGCATCCATAATGTTATTTAAACAAATTGAATTAAATGAAATTCAATTGTAACGACGAACAGACGTCAGCTTCAGTTTTCAGAGCAAGGAATAAAAGCATTCCTATGTGGAGCGGAGGAAGTGCACATGTGCTTATTCAAGTGCCTTCTACAATTTGTGCGATAAAGTTTCCCCGTGTCAATATTGGGCCAGCGTGCCAGAGCTTTAATTAATTTCGTTTCGTTGGCCACCAAACTTTTAAAGTTTCCCAGAGTTTTTCGTTTGACTTAGAAAGAAGTTTTCTTGCAGCACCAACTGGCCATACAAGAAGTTCAGCTGGCGGCCAAGAATGCTGCGGCCGACAAGCTGATCGTCATTGTCAGCGCCGAGAGCGAGAAGGTGAAACGTGAACGCTTCATAGCCTCAGAGGAGGAGAAACGCGTTCGCATCATCGAGGAGGATGTCTCCATCAAGACCAAGCTCTGTGAGCAGGATCTGCGACAGGCTGAGCCAGCTCTAGTGGCCGCACAGGCGGCGCTCAACACTCTGAACAAGAACAACCTGACCGAGCTCAAGTCCTTCGGATCGCCGCCCAAGGGCGTGATCAACGTCTGTGCTGCTGTCATGGTGCTGCTGGCCACGAATGGCAAGATACCGCGCGATCGCAGCTGGAAGGCAGCCAAGCTGATGATGGTCCGTGTGGATCAGTTTCTCAGCGACCTGCTCAACTACAACAAGGACAATATACATCCGAATATAATCGAGACCCTGCAGGAATACCTAAAGGTAAAAGGGCAGAGATGGGAGCTGCAAATTCGCATCTCACTGACATTGGAAATCGTTTTTCTTTCGTAGGATCCCGAGTTTAATCCAGACAAAGTTGTGCAAAAGTCTGTGGCAGCTGCTGGGCTCTGTGCGTGGGTCATCAATCTGCATCGCTATCATCAGGTCTTTCTCATCGTTGGCCCCAAGCAGCAGGCCCTGCAGGATGCACAGCAGGAGCTGCTCGAGGCGCGCGAACGACTGCAGTACCTCAAGACGAAAATCAACAACTTGGAAGACAAGCTGGCCGACATTCAGGCGGAGTTCGAGCACGCTGTCGCCGAAAAGCAAAAGTGCCAACGGGAGGCGGACAAGACGTCCTTTACCATCGATCTGGCCCACAGGCTGGTCAATGGACTGGCCAACGAGAATGTCCGCTGGCGCGAGTCTGTGCAGAGGTGAGCGTGGCCTGTGGACGGTGCTCGCCCATTTATGCGCCATCAATTATTAAATTTAATTTACATTTTGTGTGTGTCCGCAATCGCTTTAATTGCTTTCCCGCGTCCCTCGCATCCCCCCGTGGAGGCTCAGTTGAACGAACTGTGCCAGCATTTCGCACACTTGCGGCCCACCGCAACAACAAAAGGCCGTAAATTGTATTTACTTGCGCTCATTTGGCCCACTGCAAGTGCCATTCCCCAATCGCCATTCTCCACTTTCCACTTTCCATCTGCCTGCTCGCAACCGCCCCCCATCACTCGCCGCCCCCAGCTACCAATTGAACAAATTGCGCACTGTCGCAGCCAATGAACTGCCCGCCGTTTGTTCTGCCGACAGTAAATAAACTGCGTCAGCGTCGACTCTTCTGAGCTTTGCACTTGCACTCAGCACTTGCCCCCGGTAATGAGAAACAACCCAAAAAGCATTTAAAGCACTGCACACATGCAATAAACCAGAGCTGGCCCTGCAACAAACATCCTTACTGACCTAGAGGCAAACTGAATTCTGATCCGGCCTGAGAGAACTTTAGCAAGAAAAAGGCTGATAAGCAGCTATAATAACTATCCTGAAGACACAAATTCGAATCATCCATTCATAATGGGCTGGGCTGCTTGAAGAAATTTCCGAGAGACAGTTTTGAAGTTTTGATTTCCATAATTTTCCTTCAGGAAAGTATAGAACAGAAGAAACTGCTATATATACATAGACATTAGTTATTTATGTTAAATTTGCAATATTTAGCCATGTTAAGCATATATGTATATAACTGAGCAGCAAAATGAGATAATCTCACTAGTTTCACTGTATATGCCTCTCTGTCTATCTCACAGTCTGCCTCTTCGGGTGTCTCTCTGTCAGAAGATCATTTAAGTTCTCTATATGTATGCAGCAGAATTCATTTCGTATTTATATTTAAGTAAATCGAAGCTAGAGGGCTTGCAGCAGCAGAGAGTGCTCCCATTGGTCACATAAGGCTCGACTGCAACGACCTGTACCTGACGTCGGGCTCAACATTTGAGAGCGACTTAGGCTTTGAGTGAAGGGTGCCCTATATAAAGAGCAGCTGTCTTCAGTAGCCCAGGAATGGTGGGGGTCAGTCGTATAGTGCAATAAAGTGAAGTGCAGTGAATTGAGTGACCGTTCAGCTAAGCATTAAAGACTTAGAGGAAAAGCTTGGAGGAAGTACGCGGAGGAAATACTTCAAGAAAATACTTAGAAAAAAACTTTTGAGGAAATACTTAGAAGAAATAATTAGAGGAAATATTTAGAAGAAATGCTTGGAGGAAATACTTGGAGGAAATATTTTTTAAAATCCTAAGAGGAAACCCTTTGCGGAAATACTTAGAATAAATACTTAAAAGAAATAGAAGAAATACTTGGAGGAAATACTTAAAAGAAATACTTGGAGGAAATACTCAGGTGAAATACTCAGACCCTGTCAAAGACTATAATACAAACAATTAATATGTCATAAAAATGTCAACTAATTTGAAGTTTGATAAAACATTCTATTTTTCATACAAGTAAAATAGTTGTTAGAGTACGTGCAACATGAATATTAATTTGGTGTGGAAATTTATGTTTGGCTTTCCATACATGTGCTTGTTCGCATTGATGGTAAATAGTAATGCACAAAATGTGCTCTCAACACCTTCGGCTGCCCACGGGCACAGACTAGTTTACGAGATCAATATTTGCCATGAAATTCAATTGAGTGCGCGTGGTAGCCAAAGGAGTATCCACAGACAGCAGGCAGTGACTACACACACACACACACACTCACACTCCCTCTATCAGTACATTTTTTTTTGCATCTGAATAACTGCAAAATTTCACACACACACACATACACATGGGCATTCAATCGGCCGCACAATTCGACAACGGCAGCACCTGAATCGCCAGAGGGCGAATTCATGAATGCATCTCTACATATGTGTGAAAAATATTAAAATGTTTGCTCGGCTCGTCTGTCTGTGTGTGTGTGTGTGTGTGAGTGCTCGCTGTGAGCTATGAGTGTGCGTACAATAGACTGGCAAAGAAACAGCAGCAACAGCTAACACCAGATATGTAGCAGGGGATCCCATGCTCGAATGTCAAAACTGAAAACCTTCTTGCTCCGAGAGAACTTTCAAATATTTATGAAAATATAATTTGCGCTCAACAGCAGCGGAGGAAGAGCAATGTAAAAACTGCAAAATGTTGTGCGGTTGTGGCATCTGTGTGTGCGTGTGTGTGTGTGTGCGTGTCTGTCTATGTACCGTTATGACTTGCATATAAATTTCTATTTGACTATGGCATTAAATATTCTTCATTGTAAGTGCATACAAATGCAACTACAGAAAGAGAGAGAGAGAGAGGGAAAGGGAGAGAGAAATCTATATGTGTAAATGCTCTTGGCTCTGTATTGCCGTTAGCTTTGGTGTTGCTGTTGCTGTTGTTGTTGTTGTTGCTGCTGCTGCTGCTGCTGCTGCTGCTGCTGCTGCTGCTATTGCTGCTGGCGCTGCGAAGCTGCTTTTGAAATATATTTTGCGTTTTGAATGAGAATGCACTTATGCCACTTGACAGGTATTTTATCAAATTCTGAACAGAATATTTCTTTCAAAACAATTATTTTAATTTAACAATACAATATATGTATGTACATATATACATATGTATGCGTGTATTTCGGGGCAGGTGCTAGTCATGTTGGACATTTATGCCTTGCAATTGCATAGTCTCTGCGTTATTCAATTACCAAGCACCATTTGAAACGCACACATCTGTCTTTATATGTGTGAGTGTGTGTGTGTGTTTGTTTTTGGAACAAGAGCATAAATCACTTAAGCCTTAAAGCCATCATCTTGTGCTGAGTGCAAAACTTGCAACTCCTTTATGCCGCCTTTATGTCGCCTGCTGCAGAGCCCGTCATTTATGCTCCGGCTTAAATATATCAATAATGTTTGGCATGCAGCAATTTCAAATAATAATTTTTAAGGCTACACGACAGCAACAACATGGAGCATGCAGATTATGCTGATGATGCTACCAATGCTGCTGATGCTGCCGATACCATTGTTGTCGTTCCTCTTGTTAATCTTACGCTAAAGTTGCTAAAGTCGCAGCCAAGGCGCAGCGAGTGCCTGCGGGGGCTAATAATAAACTTGGCCTGATAGAGTTATAAATTTGAATGTATTTTCCCACTTTAATGAACTATTAATATTAATTAAAATATTTCGAATTATTAAGCTGACAATTTTCTTATTGTGTCGAAATTCATTTTTATTCCATTGATAATTTCAATTCAAGCATTCTAGCTAATCGCTATGCATACTCATTGTTCTGCCCTCGTAGAAGAGACCCTTTGCATCATTATTAGTTTTGCAATTTCCCGTTTATTCAAATGCAAGCAACGCTCGACGGGCAGCCTTCAGCTTCCTTCAGCTGCACTTGTTATTTATACTTGAAGCGCACTTTAAAGTCGCTAAGGGACAGATTAATGCTTCCCGTTTACCAGGTCAGACAGCCAGCCAGCCAGCTCTCACGTTTCTGTTTTCGATGCTTTTCTATTTTATTATACACTTGTCGAGGGGCATTTCAATTTTGTCACGAAATCGAGAAAGGCATATAAATGGACATCATTGCATCCATTAAAAAAATAATAATAATAACAATAATAAAAAAAAAATAAAAAATAAAAAAATATGTATATTTTATTTTATATATATTTGATTATCAGAGTTCAACTGAATTCCCAAATCAAATTTAGAATTAAAATTAAGTTAGGTTAAAATTAAAATTAAATTAATTATAAAATTTAGATATTGAAATGAAATTGTTATACTGCAATATCTCAACTATATCAACTCAAAAACTCCTTCCTATAAACCTATCACAATATTAGCTAACTATTTTTAACCAATCCTACTCAATGCTATTAAAATATTACCTAAATTTTGCTCCTACCTAAAAAAAACTCCTATCAGAATATTAGCTATATTTTTCTATCAATTCAAAAACTCCAGCCCAAAGGAGTCGACAGCATCATAAAGCTTCAGTCAAATGAGAAATATTTCATGGCATAAATGAAGCAGTTTGAAGTCCTCCACAGTTTCTCTTTCAGTGTATTACATTTTCGACCTGCCATTGACTTCCGGTCTATGCTTCCGTTCTCATGCTTTCATCTATTCTTAACCATTCTATTGAAAAGCTTGCAGGCAAAGATTGGCACTCTACCTGGGGATATATTGTTAATTTCCTCGTTCCTGTCGTACGTGGGCTGCTTTACACGTCGCTATCGCGAGGAGCTGCAGCACAAGATGTGGCTGCCGAGCTTTTGCAAGATGGACGTGAGTACTTGAAGCTGATACCTCAGAGGCACAGTTACTTAACTGTTTGCACTTGTTGTATGTATGGCATGGAAATAGCCCCAGATACCGCACACGCAGGGCGTCGACCCACTGGCGCTGCTGTCGGACGACGCACAAATTGCCACCTGGAATAATGAGGGATTGCCCATGGACGGCATGTCCACAGAGAATGCAACAATACTGCAGCACTCAACGCGCTGGCCACTGATGATTGATCCCCAGCTGTGAGTATCATCGTCAGCTCGGGCTTACGCCGTAATTGAGCGAGCCCGGCGACAGTTGACTACGGGCTTATCAATATTTAATAAGTGAGGGGCATTAACACTGTGAGTAACACTTTGGTTCATTCAATTCCCCTGCATGCAGTCAGGGCATCAAGTGGATCAAGAGCCGCTTTGGAGCCGCCCTGGTGGTGCTGCGTATGACGCAGCGTGGCTTTCTGGAGGCACTGGAGAAGTCCATCTCGCGCGGCGACACAGTGCTCATCGAGCAAATTGAGGAGTCCATGGACACTGTACTCGAGCCGCTGCTGAGCCGCGCGCTAATCAAAAAGGGTCGATATCTGCGCATTGGCGAACGGGAAATGGAGTTCAATCCGAATTTCCGTCTCATATTGCACACGAAGCTCGCCAATCCGCACTACAAGCCGGAAATGCAGGCACAAACGACGCTGATTAACTTCACGGTGACACCGGACGGACTGGAGGAGCAGCTGCTGGCGGAAGTGGTAAAGATTGAGCGCCCAGATCTCGAGCAGATGAAGACCGAGGTGACGATTCAGCAAAATATGTTTAAAATCTCGCTGAAGGCGCTCGAGGACGAGCTGCTGGCCAGGCTGGCCTCCGCCGGCGAGAACGTGCTCGAGGACCACGCGCTGGTGCTCAACTTGGAGAACACCAAGCGTACAGTGGACGAAATCGAGTCCAAGGTGCGAGAGGCTCACCTAACCACGCTCCAGATCGACGAGACCCGAAACATTTACCGCGCTGCCGCCAAGCGGGCGGCCATTTTGTACTTTGTGCTGACGGATCTGAATCGCATCAATCCCATATACAAGTTCTCCTTGAAGTCGTTCATGAACGTCTTCCGGCAGGCCATAGCCGTGGCGCCAGCATCCAAGAGCTATGAGAAGCGCGTGCTCCACTTGGTCGACTCGATCACGCTGCAGACGTACCGCTATACGCTGCGCGGCCTCTTCGAGGCGGACAAGTTGACGTTCAGCTCGCACCTGACGCTGCGCATCATGATCGCCGCCGAGCAGGTGGCCAAGGATGAGACCGACTTTCTGCTGCGCTATCCGCACGACCCCAACGCGCTTTCGCCGTTGGACTTTGTGGGGCGCAGTGCCTGGGGCGGCATCAAGTCGCTGGCGCTCGTCGAGCACTTCTATGGCATCGACAAGGACATGGAGAACTACACCAAGCGCTGGCGGAAATTCGTGGCCAGCGATACGCCCGAGCGGGAACAGTTCCCGGGCGAGTGGAAGCATCGCACCCCATTGCAGAAGCTGTGCATTATCAGAGCCCTGCGGCCCGATCGCATGACCTATGCCATGGCCCAGTTTGTGGAGCAGACGATGGGACGAGCCTATGCCGAGGTGCAGACGCCGCCGTTTGGGGCCATCTTCAAGGAGCTGAACGCTGCCACGCCCGCCTTCTTTATACTGTCGCCGGGCGTGGATCCCATACGCGATGTGGAGCGCCATGGGCAGCAGCAGGGCTTCCATGCGGATGCCGGAACTCTGGTGAATATTTCCTTGGGCCAGGGGCAGGAGCTGCTGGCCGAGGCAGCCATGGAGCAGGCACTGGCCTCCGGCCAACAATGGGTCATACTCCAAAACATTCATCTGGTGGTGAACTGGTTGCCCACCCTGGAGAAGCTAATCGAGCGCATTGTGCTGCAGTCCGAATCTCAGGGGGATTCGAATTTTCGCTTGTTCATTAGCGCCGAGCCAGCTCCGGATCCGCAATACCATGTCATACCCCAGGGCATTCTGGAGTCCTCCCTCAAGGTGGTGAATGAGCCGCCCGCGGGCATGGCCGCCAACCTGCACAAGGCCTGGGACAACTTCACGCAGGAGACGCTGGAAACGTGCACCCAGGAGGCGGAGTTCAAGTCAATACTCTTTGCCCTCTGCTACTTCCATGCGGTGGCCGGCGAGCGCCGCAAGTTCGGGCCCCAGGGCTGGAACAAGGTGTATCCCTTCAACATCGGCGACCTGACCATCTCGGCCAGCGTGCTGCACAACTACCTGGAGGGCAGCAGTCGCATTCCGTGGGAGGATCTACGCTACCTTTTCGGCGAGATCATGTACGGCGGCCACATAACGGACGACTGGGACAGACGGCTCTGCCAGACGTTCTTGGAGGAGCTGTTGCAGCAGGATCTCATCGATGGCGACTTTGAGCTCTGCCCCGGCTTCCCATCGCCGCCAAATTTGGAATTCGAGGGCTACCACGACTACATCACCGAAATGCTGCCCGATGAGTCACCGCTGCTCTATGGCCTGCATCCCAATGCCGAAATCGGATTCCTCACCAGCGCCTCGGAGCAGCTGCTACGCACCATCTTTGAGCTGCAGCCGCGCGAGTCAGAGCTCAGCTCGCATTGTGGCGCGCCGCGCGAGGAGCTGGTTAAGATCATGATCGACGACTTCCTCGACAAGCTGCAGGACGAGTTCAATCTGCAGGCCCTGCTCAACCGCGTGGAGCGCAAGACGCCCTTTGTGGTGGTCGCCCTGCAGGAGTGCGAGCGCATGAATGCGCTCATCCGCGAAATCAAGCGCTCGCTGCGTGAGCTGATGCTGGGGCTGAAGGGGGAGCTGACCATCACGCAGGAGATGGAACGGCTGGACTATGCGATCTTCTATGATCACGTGCCGACGGCCTGGGCACAGCTGGCCTACCCCAGCATGCTGGGCCTGCAGGGCTGGTTCGCTGACCTGCTGCATCGCATCAAGGAGCTGGCCGGCTGGCTGAACGACTTCAAGCTGCCCTGCGTGATCTGGCTGGGCGGGCTCTTCAATCCCCAGAGCTTCCTCACGGCCATCATGCAGGAGAGCGCGCGCAAGCATGATCTGCCCCTGGACCGCATGCTGATCAGCTGCGACGTCACCAAAAAGCAAAAGGACGACGTCACGTAACTAGCCTGATGAGCCACAGTCGAAAGCATATCCATGTCCTTATTAACCTCGCTTGATTTCAGATTGCCCCCCATAGAGGGCGCCTTTGTGCACGAGCTCTATTTGGATGGCGCCAGCTGGGACTGCCAGCTAAACTCTATTGTGGCCCTGCACCCCAAGGAGCTGCTCTGTGCCATGCCCGTCATCTACATCAAGTCCATTGTCCAGGAGAAACAAGAGCTGCAGCGCGTCTATGAGTGTCCGCTGTACAAGACCAGGTGAGAGGCGAGGCGACGCGCATTGTTCCCTCAGCTATTGCCATCGACATCTATCTGCCTGCATCCAATCTGTTGCAGGTCGCGTGGCAACACCTACGTATGGACGCTCAATCTGAAAACACGCGACCGTCCAGCCAAGTGGATCTTAGCAGGAGTCGCCCTTTTGTTGCAGCCATAAAGCATTATTGAACCACCCATTGTTAGCCTCGTCATTCTCGTCATCCACTCCACCTACAGCTACAACCACAACGAGACGACAGCGACAGCGACAGCGAGAGCTTTTGTGTTGATTTCGTCTGAGCTGATTCATTAAATATATATTTTTATTTATATATTTATATGTATGTATATGTAATACAGCTGCGGTAATAAACACTAAGTACTAAATGTTGAATCAAAATTTAGAGACTAAGAAACTCAAAATAGGCATCTAAAATATTAGCAATATATGTTAATCTTCACTACAACTATTACTACTATGTACTATTATAACTACTACTACTACCACTACTATTAATACCACTACTACTATGTACTGTTATAACTACTACTACTACCACTACTATTAATACTACTACTACTATGTACTATTATAACTACTACTACTACCGCTACTATTAATACTACTACTACTACTACTATTAATATTACTACTACAAGTACTACTACTACTACTACTACCACCACTACTACTACTATTAATATTGCTACTACTACTACTATTAATATTGCTACTACTACTACTATTAATATTACTACTACTACTACTACTAATATTGCTACTACTACTACTATTAATATTGCTACTACTACTACTATTAATATTACTACTACTACTACTACTACTACTACTACTACTACTACTACTACTACTACTACTACTACTACTACTACTACACTACTACTACTACTACTACTACTACTACTACAACTGCTACTATTTTTCTTACTACTAGTACTACTACTACATATTACTATTTTTCTTAGTACTATTACTACTACGTACTACTATTTTTCTTACTACTAGTACTACTACATACTACTATTTTTCTTAATACAGTTACTATTACTATTACAAATTTTTTACCGCAGGTGCATATATACATACAAATTTTCGAAATTAATATTCGCATTCCTAACTCACCTCAACTAATATTAAGTCTGTAAAATTCCGCTTTAAGCAATGCAGCACAACAGATGGAAAGTTTTTTTTTTGACACACCGAAGATTGCATGCACTTATAAACTTATTTTGATCCTGTTATTTGGCAATCCATGCGCATATATAGAGCTGTGTAGGATCTGTAGCTCAATATTTGTATTTATTTACTTATTGATTATTGTTAATATACAATTAAAACTAAGTTAAAAATGAAGCGCAGCAACTAGGGCCTTAAGCTTGTAACTTAATATATTTTCAGTTAAATTTGCAGTCAGAAAAGTTTAGTTTAGTTATCTTTAAGTTTATTTTAGTTGGCTTTAATATGTTTAGTTAAAAGTTTGCATTCAAGTTTTGAATTTTCAATTAAATATTCACGTGTTGGCTATGTGATAAACTAGTCTGTTCCGGTTTACTACAACTACGAAAACTTATATTTAAATATAGCCCACTTAGCATAGCAACAGAAAGACAAGCAGACGGAGGAGTGTGTCTTTAAATATTTATACCTAAGTGAAAGTTGTAATACCTTTAGAAACATGGATTTGGTTTCCAGAGTTTCAAGCGAGTGCAAAGTACATTTTAAGTCCGAGTTTGGAAATTAGAAACATAAAGCATAAACATAAACAAACTGAAACACAAGTCAACAAGTCTAGCGATGCTTCGAGCAACGTAAACAATATACGCAAAAGTCAAATAAAATTTCGTTTTATTTTTTGCCCAAAAATTTGCTTAAGCTTTTTTTTCGTTTTTATTTTTCTAATCAAATTTCTCACATTGTTGAGAGTAAACAATAAATAGCATATGCTAGCTTCGCCTGAATTCGCTAATCAGTGAACTTCCATGCATAACTGCTGAGACAATTATTACACATACGCCTCGTGTGCTCGAAAAAAAATTATAGCAGCTGCTGCCCACGTGAACGGCCCATACAAAATTGTAATCTACGGTAACTAGGTGTGTGTGTTTTCACAATCGGCAGACTTAATTCTTAGGCGCAGCGACCCCCACTTGTCGATCACGTGTAGACTCGCCTCAGTCGCTTCAACCGATAATTCACTTGCTGAATTGAAGGCGGCCTGCGTCAAAGCAGCTCGCGGGGAAAGTTACCGGACGGAATCAAATAAGGGGGCTCGACGCATAAGTTTCGGGCGTGATCTCTGCACCAGCTTAATCAAGTTGCTGACGTTCCACAAAGATGACGTACATAGCTTAAATGTCTGCCATGCGTCCGATTTATTACATAAGATGTTAGACTTATATTAAGTTGAGTTTCAAAACAAGAAACGCATGCAATCATAATACCCTTTGGACACTGGAAAAGAACTGAAATCTATTTCTATAAGGCTGGCGGCAGCACAGCTCGTTGCCAAGTGGAAAAATTTATAATACCCTGTATTCGTTAAAAGCTCAATGACATACACAGTGGCATATAAAATATGACCATATATATAGATGATCTATAAAGATATCTTCGTATTTCATATCTAGTAAAAACATTGTAAGTAAATAATACACAACTCATCGTTTTCGTTAATTTAAATGAATAAAAATGCTTTGCGTGATAATTATGCCCATTTGTAAATTACCTTTAAAGACATGAGCTAAAAAACGTAGTAAAAGTGAACTAGAAATTTATCTGTCAGACAGAATTGCTGTCTTACACTGCTAATTATTCTAGATAAGATATTTGAATTGACTACGCAATTGAAAAACATTACAAACTTTTATCTTTTGCTCATTTGTTATATTTGAACACTATACAGAATATCGCTGAGCTGAGTTCCCAATTATGTGCATATTATATCAATATACAAAGTATTGAAACATATTTCAGCGATTTAATCTCACTTGCAGGGTATTACCAAGTCGAGTATGCTTATGTATCTATGCATATCAGTATTCAACTAGTTAAGAAATATTTCAATAGCTCAACTTTGGCTATTTCCACATATATATGTAGCTCACATTAGTTTCTGCAGGGTATCAGCGAGTCGAGTATGCTCCAGCTGATCGCAGTCTTGTGTTTCGCCAAACTCAGCGCATATTATGTCAGTGCACAAACTCTCGCTTTGGCGTATTCCCCGAACACGGAGGCAACACGTGACACAGTCCAAGCGAACGTATGACCAATCCATCCGCCTCGCCAGTCGTCGATCGTTTATGATCGCGCCGGGTGCGAGGAGCGAAATTGCGAGCAAATTGTTTTTGTGTTCTTGTTAGCTTTATAGATAAACGTTTGGACGCGAAGCGAAGCGACGCGATGCTTCGGCAAGACGCTCGGCCCCTGCCAGCCAGACATTACTAACACATTCCGGCCCCGCTCCGTTCCGCTCCGCGCCTGTCGCTCATATGAAAAAGTATTTAAATGAGGAATTATTCGGTATGACAAATCAGAATCGCAATAATTGTGAAACGGTAAACGTCTCGCAAGGCAGGAGAGAAATCCGCAAAAAAATAAATATATATACATATATACATTAAACATCTGTTTGCCAACGGAAGCTGAGCGACTATACGAATCCCAAGAGGTAAGCACAAAGTGTCTAAATTTAATGCGCCCAGGCATCTAAATATTTAAAGCATATACTTAACGCATTATATGCAGCGTGACATGTAGAAAAAATTGTAACACTTCCGTTTCACATATTTGTTCGCAGAAATATGGCCACTGCTCACTTGCCCATCCAGAAGTACAAATACTACGAGCACAATGGAGAGCCGGGCTGCCAGGGGCTGGACGAGGTGAACCGCATGTTCCGAAACTTCTGGGATCCCACCGCCTACTGGATGTGCGATAAGCAGGGCACGCGTGCTCGCTTCCTACGCTGCCCCAAGTCACAGCTGTACTCGGAGGAGCTCGGCCGCTGTGTGCACTACACGGAATGGAGATGGACGGATCCCAAGGAGCCGCCAAGTCGGCCACAGTCCTAGGCAATGGGCCCACAATTCGTTCGCCAGCTCACACACTCTCATTATTTATACATAGAACATAACTCTTATATTTAATATAACATTTAAGTCTCGTATTGTTTTTAAAAAACATTTTACTTTATAAGTGCAAAAAATACACACAAATGAGAATATCAGTACAAAATCAAAAGGTATTTTTATATTTCCTCTATATATATATATATACGAATATATATGTATATATATTTTAGATCAAATGTCTTTTTCAATTGCTTGACAATTTCGAGCATTGTTTATAATTATTTGTGAGCATAATTTATTATTTCCGTCATCTCATTAACTGGAATGCAAATGATTCACACAAAAAGGGAATGTTGTCGTTATTGGGAATGGGAATCGAAATATAAAATAGCAAAAACTCAATTATATGCAGGTTGTGCGACATATAAATAGCTGCCCTAATTCTGTTTTCATTCAGTTAACGCTTGCAGCTAGTTGTAATTGAACTAACTAGTTTGAAACTAAATAATTAATCGCCCGAGGGCTGAGTGTTTCCGGGCGAACGACATCAACGTATTGTTGTTGGGTTTTCGGCTAGGAAATGAAAGGGAATTACATGTCGAGGCTCTGCTGCCCTTTAGAGCTCCACATGGGAGCCTTCCTTGTTGATCACCTTGAGCTTCTCCTTCTTCGGTGGCTTGGTGTCTACGGGAATCTGCTCCTCCACAGGCGCCGGTTTCTTTGGCACTGAGCGCTTTGTTGTCTCTGGCTTGGGTGTGCTGCTAGCCGTTGTTGTTTTTGTTGTGGAACTTGTTTCTTTCTTTGTTGCCGGCTTGGGCGTTGTTGTTGTTGTTGTGGTGGCTGGTTTGGCTGTAGTGGTCTTTGGCTTGGCAGTTGTCGTAGTTGTTGTTGTTGTTGTTGTTGTGGTCGTTGGCGTCGTCGTCGTGGGTTTTCTGGTTGTCGTAGTTTGGGGCTTTGGCGTCGTGGTAGTTGTCGTTGTTGTGCTCGTGGTTGTCTTTGGTGCTGCCTTTGGCTTGGGCTTGGCCGTTGTCGGCGGAGCTCCAACAGACGCCTCTAGACCGCCCTCGACGCGCACATTACGCACCTTGACGGTGGGCTGCTTGGCCGCCTTGGGGGACTTGACACGGGCCAAATAGTGATTGAAAGGTGAACCCAGATACAGATGATCCTGGAACTCGAGCACATGTGAAACACCCACAACAGACTTATCAAATCCGTGCAGCGAGCCCACAATATTGCCATTCCAGTCCACACGAACCACAGTGGTGCGCTTGGGTGCCAAGAGCATGGCCATTTCGCCGTGGCCAACAAAGTGCACAAAACGCTGCGAGAACTTATTCGGGTACACACTGTTGATGTATCGGAAGGGCAGCTCGAAGAGCGCAAGCATGCGGGCCAGGAACAAACGGATGGTGGGGAAGCGCGAGAAGAGCGAGAAGCTGGGAGGATGCTCGCTGTCAGCGCTGGACACAATGGGCACCCAAATGCCGTCGGCGTCGGGAGTCAAATTATCGGGCAAGCCAGGCAGACCCTCAACAAAGACTTCACTCTGACCTTTCTTGGGGCCCTTCAGGTAATACTTTGTCAGACGCATTGCTCCCGTCTCAGACACCACAATGAAGTCTTCATTCGGGCTCAACGCCACACCGTTGGCAAAGAACAGTTCGTCAAGCAGCACTTCGCTCACGTTCTTGGCCCGATTGTATTTGAATAGACTATAAAGAGAAATCATTAGACAAAGGCGAAGGGTGAGATGAGCACTAGCTCAAACAGAAACCGGTTTGAGCGGGAGCCGTTTGATTAAATTATTAAATGAACTCACCGTCCAGATGGATTAGCCAATGAGGTAAACATAATATCTTGAATGGTGAAGTCTGAAGAAGAATCGGTCCAGTAGATCTCACCCTCCTTGCTAACGGTCACTGAATTGAAGACCCTGGCTCGGCGATTGATGCTCTTGCCAGGCAGCTCCTGAGTCGGCGACACCAACAGTTTCTTCTTGTTTGTGGTTAGATCAACTAGCCAAAGTCCATAGTAGGCATCGGCGACGATCAGATTATTGCCTTGGGTATCAAATGCCAAGCCCAGCGGGCGACCACACTTGGCCTCCTCAAATATTTCGGCTACCAGAGGATTATAGATCTTAGCGAATATCCTTAATACAATGTCAGAGTACTTACCACAAGGCTCGCCGAATTTGGCTACATGCGTCACATGGTTGGATGTCAGCTTGATGATCTCACCACCATGTAGGCCAGTGTAGATCTCATTGTTGCGCACGATCAGGCACTCCGGGCCATAGATGCGGCCCTCCAGCAAACGCTCAGCTCCCTCCAAGTGAAAGTTGGACTCGAGGGCGCCCTTCAGTTCTTTGGGTGGGGCAACACTGCGGAAGAATGTGTTATTAAATATACATATAAATTAGGCGAGCAGTAACTTACATGAAATCTTTATAGGGGAAAGTTGTGCGCGGGGGCAGACCCGGGAACAAAATAATAAATAGAAAGAAAATCATGAAATTCATAATTCTCAGACGTATTGACCGCAACAGTCCCATGATTAGGTATGTATATAAAACAACTAGCCCTTTCAACTAACTAAACAAAGTAATTTATATTAAATGGCAGCACAGGCCAAGAAAAAAAACCAAAATCGACACGACGGCAAAGTTCAAGACGAAAACGCAAAAGTCATCGCACCGGTGTAGTTAAAGCAGGGCTGCAAAGCAAACAATACTTAAGCCGCCTATTAGATATGTGCATGACTAACAAAATTATGATAATTGAAAATTATCATTTCGAGAAAAATTAATTATTGTTTAATGGATTTATTATCAATGCTTTATTTATAACTTGTTTTTAAAATTACTGTACAAGCAATACAAATTCATTTACAGTATATTTTCGCTTGCAAAAATATATACTAAATAATCGATTATCGAACGCCCTCCACAATGTGAACTAGTTCTCATTGCTGAACCACACAGTAAATTGAGTGCTCTTGTTTTTGTGGACGACGCAGTTGATAATGAGCGACAATCTGATCAGTAAAGAGGAAGCCTGCAGCATGGAGCAAGATCAAGATCTGGGAGGCAAGCACTACTCTCGCTGCAGCAGCGCGGGCAGCACCCATACACCCAACTCTTCGGCGCACAACTCTGGTAAGCAGCCAGCGTCTTCCTATTTACTGATTGTTTGTTTTTGTTTGTGTTCGCTACGAGCGTGACGATCAGCTGATAATAATGATGGTGGCATTGAGTTTCCGCTGCCGTTGTTATTTCTGGTATCCATTATCAGCGCCCAGCATTTTATTACACTTGCCTCCGTCTCTTCCCGCGCACACAGATGACGATGACGACAGCGGCGATGCACGACACATGGGAGCCACAAATTCGAATTCGAACTCTTCGCTGAGCTACAAGGAGCGCAGACGCTCGGCTCACACTCAGGCGGAGCAGAAGCGTCGGGATGCGATCAAAAAGGGCTACGACAGTCTGCAGGAGCTGGTGCCGCGCTGCCAGCCAAACGACTCGTCTGGCTACAAGCTGAGCAAAGCGCTGATACTGCAGAAGTCCATCGAGTACATTGGCTATCTGAATCAGCAGAAAATCAGACAGGAGGAGGAGAGCGCCGCTCTGCAGAAGGAGGTGACGGCGCTGCGTATCATACAGAATGGCTACGAGACCATGTTGCAACATCAGCAGGCCAATCCGGGGCCCGAAGAGGCGCGTCTCACAGACGAGGCCAAATTTCAAGTGGTCAGCAAAATGCGAGCGAAATAGTCGCACTAGAAATAACCCCGTGACAATCGCTCACTGACTCGTGTTTCACAGTTTCAGGCAATACTGGACGAAATGTTTGAGACATTCCAGAACATACCGATGGATAACTTCAAGCAGCTGACCAGCGGCGTCATACCCTGGCTGGAGGAGCATTGCAAGCCGCACATTTTGCGCAACATTCTCAGCCGGACGCTGCAGCAGATGGCGCAGGAGACGCAAGAGAAGCAGCAGCAGGCAATGGATCAGGAATCTGGGGAGGGTTTCAGTTGAATCCCCATTTGTTGTTATTTTTCTTCGGTCTTGTTTCTGTTTTTGGTAAATGCTTTCAATTAGTAAATGCGTCATTTAGTTGTAAAAGCGTGCGATATATAGAGGCTAACATTGACTTTTTGGCTTAAGCTTAAAGATTAGATAAATGCTACAATTAGATACGCGAATTGCCTATATATACTTAGCTTAGGGCGTGCCTGCCGCGCGCGTCCAGCAGCTGGCGCACAATCGCCATCTGCTCCGTGGCCTTCAGCAGAGTCAGCAACTGGAGCAGCACATTCAATGTGTACGCCTTGAAGCGAGCCACTTGCTCGTCCACTGCTAGCGCCGTCAGCAGCTGTAGCTGGTAGCGCTGCATCCTTTCCGCCGTCCAGACATGACGCGCCTCGTGCTGCAGCTTGAGCACGCCCGCTTGCATGGTGAACAGCAAAGCCTCGTAGAAGTTGTCGTCCTTGAGCTGCGACGCTTTCTTGGCACTGGCCAAGAGCACGGCCGGAAGATCGCAACGGAACTCGTGGGCGCGCACAAAGCATGTGGCCGCCAGTTGACGCACCTGTTCGCACCTGTGGCGCAGCAAACGCCAGCTGAGCCGCCGGAAGCGCTGCAGCAACTGCGTGGACTGCTGCGGCTGGCCAGTGGTGCACAGATGCTCCACCTTGGACAGAAAGCCCAGGAACAGTATAATGGAGGATGTGGCCTTAGTGCCACTGCAGCAGCTCAGCATGTGCTCGCAGGCCTTGGGCAGCTGGCAAGCCAGCTCCTCGTAGTTCATTTCGCTAGGCTCCCATTCCAGCTTCGTGTCGAACTCTGTCGCCTGCCGCTGGCCCAGCAGTTTGCCAAGTGACGCCCCGAAGAGCTGCAGCGCAGCGTTTGAAATGGTCCACTCGGTGTGGTCGATGTGTTCAATGGCCACCAGCATGATCTCATTGTAGTACTTGCACATGGCCGGCCGCAGTTCCGTGTCCCGCACCAGCACGCACAGATAATGCAGCGCCAATGCCTCCCAGCGGTCGTGGTTGCTGCTGCCGGCTGCTTCGTCGCTGGAGCTGCCATTGAGCCGCTCCAGTATGCGCTGCACGGCCCGATGCAGCAGTGAGCGCTGGCGCGGATCATCGTTTTTGACCACGTGCAGGAACATTATGGAGAAGCCGGCACCGCGTCGCGTAGTGCTCACCTGGCGGCACTCGGAGAGCAGCTCTCGCTCGAGACAATCGTGCAGCAGCTCGAATGCCCGATCCCCGCTAGCAACAGTGCTGGTAATGGCGCGCGTCAGCCTGCCAATGCTCAGGCCAGCTGCCTCGATGGCGCCCTTGTGCCGGCACCGTGTCAACACGGCCACATTGATGTCCAAGCAGCGCTGCAGTGCCTCACAGTCGAGCATGCCAGCCGGAGCAGAGCGAAGCAGCGCACAAGCCAGGCTGGTGGCCAAGTCACAGCTTGCCTGCAATGAAGGTGATATATTTAGGAGAATTCTAGAGGACGATTCTACAGATACCCACCTTCAATGTCAGCCAGAAGCTCATGAGCAAATACTTGCGACACGCCTCGTCATCCTCGTCGACCACGTAGGCGCTCTCACTGACCAGCAGCTGCAAGCTCTCGTCCATGTCCTGGAAACTGGCGGCTGATGCCTCCGTCTTCGCCTGCCTCGCATTGCCCAAATTAAGAAACTTCAGAATGACATTCAGAATCCGCTCGAGCAGTGGCAAGAGCTCTGCTACATCTGCTTCCAGACTATTCCGACCACCGCTGACCAGCTCGTCCAGAACACAGATGTGGCCAAAGAGATGCCCGCCGTCAGTTTTTGTGGTCTTCAGCGGATCTAACTGGAATGCATCGAATTTGTGCGTCAATTGCTGTAGACATTGGTCGTAGAGGCTATGGGTCAGCTGTGGATCAGCACCGCTGCGAACCAGCAGCTGCGCGTAGAGCGAGACCAGGGAGCACTCATCCACATCGGAGCTGAGGCAGAGCGTCAGGCAACGCTCGTTACACTGCACGCTGTCCACATCGCCCAGTTCGAGCAGAAGCGAAACGGTCAGTTCCAGAGCATCGTCGAAGCCCTGCGGATCGTTAAGGGACTTGAACAGCAGCTGTGCAACGGATTTGGGCTGAAAGACGCCATGATCCAGCAGGAAGGCGCCCAGCTGCTGGTTCTGCTGGGTGCTGCACATCTTGGCATTCTTGATGACGCGCGTGCTGTATAGGGATTTGTGCAGGATTTCGAGCATTTTCAGGGCGAATATCTTGGGCTGATATACATCGGAGAGGATGTCCTGCTCCAGCAGCTCCTGTAGCTGCCGGAAGAAGCGCTTAATGTCGTTGGCCAGTGCATCGCTGCCAGCGCCTCCATCCGCTCTTAAGGCCCTACTGAAGTGCTTGGCCGTGTGGTTGATAATGTTCGGCATCTTGCCCAGCATTGTGTTGCGGAATTCGGAGCTCTCCACGCCCCGATGACGCTTCATGAAACTGTAGAAGAAATCCAGGCAATCCTCTACAGCGAAATTGGCGAGATTCTCCACCAGGAACTTAAAGATCAACAACTGCGCCTCCGTCTCAAAGACGCTGCAATTGGTCAATAATTCTGTGCTGATCTTGAAGAAATGCAGCTTGGATGCCACATAGATCTCCTTGGCGAACATGCTGAATATGAGTATGAGACGCTGCTGCTCGCTGGCCGTCCGAGCCGACTCCGAGCTGGCCAGAAACTCCACAATCTCTGGCTTTCCCTGCAGCAGCTGAAAGAGAGCATCTCGTTGCTGTATGCGCAGAAACCACTGCGAGTGAAAGTTTTGAATCTCCGCTATGTTGCCATTGACCAGCAGCTCCACAGCTAGATCGAGCAGAGCTGCCGACCGCTGGCTGCTCAGGCTCTTCACTGGATACTGGCTGGCCGCACGCAGTCCCTTGTAGCTCAGACTCAAACGCAGGCCAGCAAAGAACTCTGACTCGTTGTGTCCACTTGCTGCCAGCAGCTGTGGCAGCCCATGGGAGTTGAGTATGCCGCTCAGTAGGTAGTATTTGTTGCGATTCGTCCATGGCCAGAACTCCACGATGAGGCGAAAGTAGGCAAAGGCGCGCCTTTGCTGTTTGCAGCAGTGGTTGAACAGCGTCAACGTTTCCTCCCGCGAGCCAACCTGACTCTGACGCTGCAGGCAGTGGTAGAAATGCTCCAGCTGCAGCCTCAGCAGCTGTAGCTTCGTAAACTTCTTCACCAGCAAATTAGTGGCCTTCAATATATGCACCAGACTGCTGTTATTATGCTGCAGTGCCGCAATGATGGCATCCATGCACTTGGCCTCAATCAGCTGGGCATCCAGTCGCGACCAATGGTTAGTCAGCAGAACTGCCTGCAGCATGAGAAACGCCTGCGGCTGATCATACGAAAGACGCTCGGGGAGATTAGCGAAATGCTCGTCCTCGAGCTCATATTTGTGGACGATGTGATAATAGACGCGGAAACTGACGTTAAGCGCAGCCTGATTAATGCTAAGTGACTCCGATTGGTTGGCCTCCTCGAAAATTTGGGCCGCGAGCTGGTCGGCCACCTCCTTGGGCAGGCCGTCGCCCAGGGACTGTGGGTGGGGGTAAAACGCAGTCGATACACAAAAATAAGTTATTTAAACCGGCAGAGCAACCTACCTGCAGATAGGAAAGACAGTCATTGTGGCTTTTAGATTTTTTCTCGCCTTTGGGTATTGCTGCAGCCATTGTTATACAGGACCCGCCTGGCCAACGAAGCGGTTGGAGCAAACTTATAAATAAATTAAACAAAACTCTTATACATTCCGACTACACGTGCAAAGTCATCGTTGGTTATTTATCGATAACAGCGATGAGTACTCTTCGAAATAGGCATTTAGCCGCTTATTGGCATGCGGTCTCACTGACATAGTGCTTCAGTTCAAGATGGCGAACGATGCGAGCAAGCTATTGCTATCTTCAAACCAAGAAAAAACCAGTCATTATACGTAAATAAACATGATTCAAGGTGAAATTTGTATATTTTTCACTAACCACAACCTTTTGCTTCCACAGCTACCTGAAGGAATTCCGCGTGGAACAGTGTCAATCGTTCCTGCAGCACAAATGTAACCAGCATCGCCCTTTCGTTTGCTTTAATTGGCATTTTCAAAATCAGCGTCGTCGGCGGCCCGTGCGTAAACGCGATGGCACATTTAACTACAGCGCTGATAATTACTGCACCAAATATGATGAAACAACTGGAATCTGTCCTGAGGGCGATGAGTGAGTATTAACGCTGCTCAGAGTGTGATGTCTGGCTGGGTGAACTGTGGAGACGCCAACGCGAACAATCAACGACGTAGTATTTTTTCATTTCCTCTTTGCGCTCAATTTTCTTTGCAATGTGTGTGTATCTCTTGGCTTCGTGTTTACAAACAAAAACTTTTCATTGGAGTGTGGAGGGGAATCAGCGTATCATCGACTAGCTAAAAGTGAAATTAAATAGCCGCTATTTCAATGTCTGCCAGTGTCTGTGTGTGTTTGTGCGTAATCTAATAACACCCTAAGCAGAGGTCAATGCTAACGGCCGCCCATAGAATGCAAAAGTGAAAGTGATTTAGGCGATATAGCTCGAGCTCGGAAATTCTAATCGGCAAGTGCCTCGACTGAGGGTTGTTGCTCTCGCACACACTCTCAAGTGCGCAGCGACAGTTATAGCTGCTACAAGTGTGTGCGTCATTGTTTTTATTGCGTTTTGCTTTTGCGCGTTTTTCCTTCAGTTTATTTTGGTTTTCCCCCGGCGGCGGCATCATAGTATATAGTAAAAGCAGTACTGGTAGCTTCAAATGTACAGTTATATTGGGCAGAGCTTTCCCGCAAAGCTTTGAGCAACGAACGTTGAGCACAAAGCAAGAGAGAGCGAGTAATAGTAAAATAATACGCAATTTCATTTTCTGCAATAACAGAAACAACAATCCTGACCCTGACTTGTATTGTGAATATACATGTGTGTGTGTGGGTGTGTGTGTGTGCATGTATGTAGGTGGGTGCTGATTCACCCAATTGCTACTATAACTGTTCGTTGGGGATGAACGGCTGCGTCGCTATTTTTAGCCTGCGGCTCAGTCTTTCTGTGCGTCACTTAACGATTCTCCCTCCATTATTTTTCGCACAGATGCCCATTCCTACACCGCACAGCCGGCGACACAGAGCGTAGGTATCATTTACGCTACTACAAGACATGCATGTGCGTCCACGACACAGACAGCCGTGGATACTGTGTGAAAAATGGTGTGCACTGCGCTTTTGCACATGGCATGCAAGATCAGCGTCCTCCAGTATATGATATCAAAGAGCTGGAGACACTGCAAAATTCGGATATAACGTTAGACGGCACCAATGCACAAAACGCGCTCGATAAGGAACGGAATCTTATGAACGAGGATCCCAAATGGCAAGACACCAACTTTGTGCTGGCCAACTACAAAACCGAGCAGTGCAAGCGTCCACCTCGCCTATGTCGGCAAGGCTATGCCTGTCCACAGTACCACAACAGCAAGGATAAACGTCGCTCGCCCAGAAAGTACAAATACAGGTGAGTCTGCGTCGCTAATCGTAGCTAAACACTTTTATTACCATTTCCCATTGCCTTCGCAGATCAACTCCATGCCCCAATGTCAAGCACGGAGAGGAATGGGGCGAGCCGGGCAACTGTGAGGCCGGTGACAATTGCCAATACTGTCACACTCGCACCGAACAGCAATTTCATCCGGAAATCTACAAGTCCACAAAATGCAACGATGTACAACAGGCTGGCTACTGTCCGCGCAGTGTCTTCTGTGCTTTTGCGCACGTGGAACGTAAGTAGTGCAGACATTGACCGAATTATTATATAGATAAGGTTCTGTAGAGTTAAGACGCTGTTTTCCACAACCATAGCGGGCGGTTAGTGTACTAGTGTATATTAGTCTAGTCTATATAGATTAGGTTCATATGTTACCTACATACGTATTTTGGTTGATATTGTTTAATTGTTTACTTGTCTTTTACTCACTTTCACACATTGATCACATTTGTGTAAAACCCCCAAAATTAAATGCAATCAATGCAACAATCGAATGCGCTTTGCTGCTTGAATCCATATTCCCCCACCTCAAGCTTATCTGGTCAACGAGCAGAAGATGCGTGATCAAGAAATTGCTTTGAGTGAACTCATTTCCAATGGCTTGTCCGGTTTGAAAGTGCAGGATGAGGTGTCTAATGGCAAGCTGTCGACAGGACTGCTCCAGCTGAGCAATAATGTACGTATTATCAAATCAAAGCAAATCAGAAATCAGTGTGATTGATCTACCAATACATTTATTTTGTTGTGTATATACATATGTGTGTGCGTCCAGCATTTTGCTAACACTCTAACCCCACTCCACTCGATCATCAGCTAATCCCAGCTAACAGCATCTAATCGCCAGTCATTGAGAAATATGTCCCGCTCTCATTTTGTTTCTTCGTTTCTCTTTGTTTGATTCTCTATTTCGTAGTTATTAAATATTGATGGTAATAATACAACCAACAAAATGTTGGTAGATGCTTTGGAAAATACAACTAATTCCAGCAAAATCTTAAATATATCACTACCACTGGACAGCCATCGTGAGTAATATATACTTTACATTGATTTTTGCATTGTTTTCAACAATGGTTGTGGACAAATTGACAGCGCATAAGAATAAAATAAAAAAGTAAAACATCGAAAAAAAAAAAATAATTCAAATACCATTTACACTAACTGAAATTAAACTAACGCATTTTCTTTCTGAAAACTATTCCAAGCAGCCTGTACATTGGACGATCCACGCGAGAACTCGCTATCGGCAAGTGTGGTTAACAATAGTTTATTAACACGTTCCTCGGCGCCAATTAACATTCCTAATACAACACTAAGTAACTCTATTAACGGTGAGTCACTGTCGACAAGTTAACAAGTCTGCACCATGCTAATTTCACTTATACACTCTCCGCAATATAGACTTCAATTCAGGTGGCTTTGCCGTCAACATTCCCAGCAGCTCGCTCACCTATAGCCCAACAAATCATGCCAATCTTTTCAATGTGTATGGCGCACCCAATAAGCTAAGCAATTCCCTTTCGGCCGCCACGCAAAATGATAGCAATAGCCTATTTTTTCCATCGCGCATCATATCACCTGGATTTGGCGACGGATTATCTATAAGTCCATCAGTTAGAATATCAGAATTGAATACCATAAGGGATGACATCAACAGCAGCTCCGTGGGCAACAATTTGTTTGAGAACACGTTGAATACGGCAAAGAATGCATTCAGTTTGCAATCTCTGCAGTCGCAAAATAATACTGATTTGGGTCGCATGACCAACGAGTTACTTACAAAGAATGCGCAAATCCAAAAGTTATCCGGACGTCTCGAGGAGCTCATGTGCAAGCTGCAGATAGCCGAAATGCATCGCGACAAAGCCAAACAGGATGCATTGGAGTGGAAGGACCGCCACGATCTAGTGCAGAGGCAACTCAATTTGCCTGGCGAACTGCGAGACCTATCTATACAAAAGCTTAAGCAATTGCAGGTAAGTTGCTTGCGTGAAATTACAAATACTCGACAACAACAATACTTACAACAACAATGAACAATTTTTAGTCGAAACTGCGAACGGATTTGGAGGAGGTAGACAAAGTATTATACTTGGAGAATGCCAAGAAATGCATGAAATGTGAGGAAAACAATCGCACCGTTACGCTGGAGCCCTGCAATCATCTGTCCATTTGCAATACGTGCGCTGGCTCTGTTACCGAGTGCCCCTATTGTCAGGTGCGGGTAATCACAACGCACACATAGAATTTGTTTCAACCGTTCCAGGACTATAAGTGAATAGCTGCCGTGTCCAATTGGTGTAAAATCTGGTCTCAGTGCCAATGGGCGAGGGAAACAGAATACTTTAATCGTAAGCAGAACGTTGATTGACTAGCAAAGGCAGAGCTTACACATATGCTTACATATTATTTATATTTATCTATATGCAAATTAATTATCTTGGATATTAGCAATTACTAGGCACAAAATATGTAATTCGTTTAGCAAGCTGCTATGCATTTGAAGTTTACTAATCGTCGAAATACCGCTACTGAAAACTTCTTTAATTCATGTTTTATATATACATAATTTTTTTAAACATTTGGTTTGTTTACCATTTTTAGTTTTGTGTTTGTTTAGTCGTCTTGTTTATATATGCAACGTGTATATAAACAAATTTCTAATTTTCATTTAGTCCATGACATTTTATTTTGTAAGGAAAGCATTTCCACTTTTATATCTGTATTCGAAATTTTCTAAACACTATTGACCAGTTAATTAAGAAAATAAAACCATTTACTTCTATATGATATACATGTAAACAAACGCTCATATAATATGTGACGTAAAAGTTTTTTGACGCCGCTTAAATTTAAAAGAAAGAAACGATTAACTAACAACAAATGAAGAACCACCAGTGATTTTTATAAACCAATTGTCTAACAACTTATATTTGTAATTTTTTTTAGATATGTTCAAATGAAATGTAAACAAATTGAAAATGTCGTAATTAAGAGATCTCTAGGCAAGGTTCGAATTTTAGCGTCTTTCATCAATGATATTTGAATGACAAAATTCAAACCAAATTTTGCAAGGACGCACAAAATAATGATAATTGTAGAAACATCCACGATAGTATTAAATCTATCTTTGACATTTGATCAGTTTGTCAGGCCACATTATACTGCTATGTGAAAAAGAAGAAAAAAAAAAACAAAACAAAACTCCTTTATTTCTGGTGTT